AAGGAGGTGGACCGACAGGCAGATAATACCGTCCCGAAGACTGTAAATTAATCTTAGGCTTTCATCGTATACCTTGGACGATATCTCAGAAGGGGAGGTGTTCGGGAGAAAGTAAGAATTGCATAGGAAATCCACTATTTTAGCGATTAATCGATTATTGACGATTGTCGCATCGATTTCGAATGTTCCGGAATGTTTTGGTTCTGCACGTGACTAAAATCCACCTGACACCGGCAAAAGCTATGGGGAACCACTAACCTTAGTAGCTGACCTTCCAATTCTAGAAGTCGAATGTCAGTAAGAGATCTATAAATAGAGCCAAGGTCCACGGTAGTTGTACAGTGTTTGTTGACGGCGGTTAATGCGTTATTCTGTCAAGGTCATTGGCGTTCTGCTTTTTCCTTCGGTTGGGCTAGAAGTCTTGTGGAGCAGTAAAGTGTCGATTTCGGAATCGCTTCTAGTGAGAATATTATAACACGATGTCTATAGATGGTTAAGCCCCTGTAAAGCCACATGGGCATTGCTGCTGTTCGAAATAACCTGAGTGATGTGATCAAAGTTAATCGATCCACTACTTCTGGAGGCTGTTCACTAAAACCAGTGACGCATCGAACCAGTCCTGCAACCATACCTCGGCCCGCGGCCGAAAGGACGAGACGTCTGCCTTGCAGCCCGGTAATCACGGGTTCAAGTCTGCGTACGGTGCGGGCGATCCTCGCAGTAAGGTTAGCCCACGCGCGACTGGTGACGGCTGTGTATCAGTGAAGCGTCGATACGCCTTAGTGGCGTATTGCTGAAGTCTTTTTGCAACAATACCTTTCACTGTGTCATTCTTGCTGAAGATTTAAACGGGCCGCCTGACACCAAGCGAGCACCATCGTGGGGGTATTTTTTGCCTCAGTAGCAGTCGATCAGACCATGGAGACAGACTACTGACTCTTTGTTTTGATCATCGTTTGTTTCTTTCGAACACCATTTCGTCACTCGAAGGGGGACTGTTATCTGGCGCCCGCCTTCTCAAACGCAAGAGTGGTCACAGACTGATCACGACAATAAACCACAGATGGTGCGGAAGGGTAACAGTCTTCCGTACTGCAGGTTATGTACAGTCTGGTCTCGGGTAGTGTTCGTGCGTATGGCAAACTTACTCTTTCCTTTATTGTCACCAGTGGATTTCGCCAGGAATGCTCTATCTCCATTTCACCACAATTTTGCTATTGAGGATGTCCTCAAAATGCTCCGGATGATTCGTTGCACCATGGCGTTGAGTTCTTCCCAGGTAATTGAGTTGCTGATTTGTACTACCTTGATGTTATCGTCTTACTGAGTGACGGTCCGCTGGCCGTTCAACTTGCGCTTAAGCGCTTGGCCATTGGAGCGTCAAACTACAGGATGACTCTTTTTCACCACTTTCGGATGCCTTCACTCACACTTGGCGGTGAGACACTGAAGGTTATAGATTTTACCTTCGAAGCTGCATCACTGCTGTTAAAGTTGTCGGAGGCAAGATTTTGATGTGTATCTCACAAGTGCGTCTCACTTTCTCTTTACCGATTAACTTGTGATGCCACCATGACGTCCGTCGAGCCATCCTAGAGCGGGTTCATTGTGCGACTGTCCGCTTTGCACTGTTGTGCGATTGCGAGACATGGCCTGTTCGTATCGTTTACATGCGCCGTCTTTCACTTTTCGAGCACCGTTGCTTGCAGTCCATCGCCCGTGTGCGGTGGCTGCACCGCGTAATTAATGTGGTAGCTAGCGTGTCTTAAATGGAGACAGCCACTTGCTCGAGGAGCTCGTTCCGCTACATTTACTGCGTTGGCTTTGACACGTACTGCCCATGCCCGTTCACCGTGTTCCCCATCGTGCGTTGTTCGCGTTTACTGTGCAAGGCTAGAGGAGACGGTGCGGTGGACAACCTACGACTTGGAGAAGCGGCATGAAAAAGCTTGGGAAACACTTGGTTTGGGCGGTTATCATCGACTCTTTGGTTTGGATTTCGGAGATTCAGAGCGTCCCTGTTTGGTGACACTGGAAGTCGTGGCTCAAGACCGGCTTCAATGACGAACATGTACCTCTGCGTGATGCGGTAATTTTCCTTCCCGAATACAATAAACACTAAAAAAAGCACTGTGGGTGGAGAACTGAACAGAAAAGCTGTGTTCATTTTATTTTTGTCCTGATAGTACAATATCTGTACCGCAGCTTGTGATACATATGGTTGGCGGCATCCGGTTTCGCATTTGCCTGTCACTGTGGCCAGCCACAGGATGCCTGCGCCTACAGAGGGGCCATGGTTGACTGGCGCTGCACTACTCACGGTTCCAATCACACACCTCATATCCAGTGCAAACACGAAGGAATAAAACCGAAAGGCATGTGGATGGAAGCCACATTTCATCAACCGAGCCGGCCCATACTTTTTAATTGGAAAACACAAACACGTTGTATTTGGGGAATCAAGCGCACACAAGGCGGTGGCTGGACCGTAGTCCGCTCCACACTGAGTGCATGGAACCACTCATCGAGCCTAACACGTCCACGAGGATCGTTCACTCCGTCCTTTCCAGCAACGACCAATTGTCTCCTGAAGCCAGTATGGACGAGATAGGGGGTGATAGATAGATAGGCACCTTGTCAACCTGCACACCAAGCGCAGCCACATCGTGGATCTCAAACAACAGCCAATCACTTGAAATAACTTCATCAGATAAAATATACCTGTTAAAGCGTGCGGATGTGCAGACATAACTCTTCGCTAAATTAGCGTAGGAAGTAAGTAAGCAATGAACCTGCAATAAGTAGAAAATGTCCAGAAGTTACTCAAAACATGCCACAAACGGAGTAACTTTGACGAAGATAATCGCAATTAACGTAAGCAACGAGTGCAAGTTACTAGAAGATTATTCGGGTAGGTAGAACACATCAAATAAAATGGAATAAAATTTATCCAGCTCAAAAAGACTTTGTTTAGGTTGGTTTAGCCCAACTGCGGTGAAGATGAATCATGAATGCAACATCGGTCTCAGCATGGGGCTTGTGATTTTATATTGTTGCATTCTTGATGCTTCTTCACCGCAGTTGGGCTAAACCAACTTACACTTAAACTAGGTCTCTTTAAGCTGCATAAATTTCATTCCACTTTATTTGGTTAGTTTTGCCTATCTGAATAGTCTTCTATTAGCTGGCCACGTCGCTTACGCTAATTGCGCTTATCTTCGGTAATTTTGTTGCGTTTGTAGCATTTTTGAGTAACTTGTGGACATTTTTTCCTTATCGCGGATTCATTGCTAACCAACTTACTTCATATGCTAATTTAGCGAAGAGTTATGCCACCGTATCTGTATGCAGTATTGGATTTATTTTATTTCATTTTGTCGTTTCAGGTAATTGGCTGTTGCGTGCTATCCCCGGTGTGGCTGCGCTTGATGTGCATGTTGACAAGATGCCTACCTGTCTATTACCCACTACCTCGTCCATACTGGCTCCAGGAGACAGTTGGTCGTTGCTGGAGGGGACGGGGTGCACGGTCCTTGTGGCCGTGCTAGGCTCGAAGAGTGGTTCCATGCACTCAGTGTGGAGCGGACTACGGTCCAGCCACCGCCTTGTGTGCGATTGATTCCCAACTACAGCGTGCTTGTGTTTGCCTATGAAGGAGTGTGGGCCGGCTCCGTTGATGAAACGTGGCTCCCATCCACATGCCTCCCGGTCTTATTCCTTCGGGTTTACACTGGATATGGGGTGTGTGGTTGGAGCTGTGGGTGGTGCAGCGCAAGCCACCTATGATCCCTGTGTAGGCGCAGGCGTCCTGTGGCTTGCCACAGTGACAGGCAAATCCGAAACTGGATGCCGCTAACCATATATATATATATATATATATATATATATATATATATATATATATATATATATATATCACAAATTTGACGGAGGTGATATGGAACAATTCTGGTGGTCCCCGCGTGTACGGAACTCAGGAGATAGCTTTCCGTAGATACGGTATGGAGCTTTCAAATTGGAGTGAAGTTTTCCAGGCACATCTTTCACGGATAGACATTATTGTAAACTGGCACCCTCAACAGAGTATGGCACATCTTTCACTTCGAGGAAAATTACCTTAGTCGGTTGTCTGTAAAACATCAAGTGATATCGAATGGTTGGCTTTATGGTTCACAGTCATGCACTGCACTTTATACTAAAATTAACCGATAGATCAACAGTTAGCGGAGTATCACTGCCCTTCATCAACGACTAGGTAATGTAGTCTATTTCATATTTCTGCGATTGTTAGATGCATACTGACGTCTTAGGATGATTTTGGCGACTAGATAACAGATGTTAACTCTATAGACTGACATGCTTGTTCCGTGAAATGTAACGCCCTCCTCTGGTTCCGGTCAATTTTTCTAACTAGAGCCTCTGTTTTTGTTTGCTTCGATTAATTTGGAACGATCCTGGGCTGTTCCTGAGACCACTACGCCACCCATCGACGACCCCGATCGTCTTCGTGGCAGCGGATTGTGAACACCCATTTACCCATTAAAACCAACTTAGATGTAATAAAGCTGATAAAAGTGTTACGAAACCCATTCCCTCATAGTACGTTTTGTGCCGATCACAGTTGACCAACTGGATGTAACTGGGATTCCGTTAATCTTCCGGTGATTTCGAACTGCGTTTCATGCAAGCTTTTACCGTCACTTTCGAATATCCGTTTGGTTGCGTCAGATGCGATGTGTGAACCCATCTGCCACTCTTCTGTGTTTACTGTGTTAGCCTGATGTTAACAACACTAGTCTACTTAAGCATTTTTTACAATGGATCACTAAAATGACGGATTCCTGTCGGAACTCATGATACGTTCGTATTGCTTCCACCACCTCAGCAGTTTGTGATTTGCATAATTACGTACACGGTTGTTTAGCGGTCCCTCGACACTTATTTATTCATATCCGTTCCTTCTTTGACTTTCTCTAACTGCATTCAACCTCCGCTAGGATGTGGATGAAGACAGCCTACCTCCGGAAGAGGCCAAAGAGCGAAAAATAATGACCTTCTTATTGAAAATCAAGAACGGAACTCCACCTATGCGTAAGTCAGCTCTCAGACAAATAACTGATAAGGCCCGGGAATTTGGCGCTGGACCTCTTTTCAAGCAAATACTCCCATTACTGATGTCACCTACACTGGAAGATCAGGAGCGGCATTTATTGGTCAAGGTCAGTTTTTGTTCCTACTGGACATGCACTCTCACTCCCAGACCTCGTTATTTTCTTAGTTCGGTTGCATGTGCCCTGCAATATTCTAGTCCCTGTGTTTTCTATCACGTGCGGAATTACATTTACACTATCATTCGGGTCGTAAGGTTACTTTCAATATATTCACTAACAACAATCCACCGCGGATAAACGATAATAAAATTCGACTTGGTTGTCTTTGCAAACTTGTCAGTTGGGCAGAGATAGGAGCGCATGTACGATGATTCTCATCTGATGGCTCCTGATCTAATGTGATCCTAATGAAACCGCTAAAGCCAACCGAGTGTCAATCACCGGATGTGTTGAACGGCCGTTTTTTACGGCTTGGACCTATCAACTGTATGCATTCTCAGGCCGTGGACCTTCCTGTTACAAGGCAACGGGTATTACCGATGGTTTTTTAAAGCTAACTGAAATCGTCCGCGGTGTCTTCGGAATTGTGAGCTTATCTATCCCGTTCTTATCACAAAACATGTTTCATCGATCATGTGAAGTATCTGTTCTGCGGCTGTAAGTTCTAACCATCTTTTTTCACCACGCGATTCGTATCACTATTCGGAACTGTATTTTATCAACCACATTGTGAACTTTGAACATTGCACAACTTATGGTATGGTACAGGTAGATAGTTTCGTCTATCTTGGGAGCTGTGTTTCTGCTGATGGCACTATCAACAAAGAAGTTTCTCTTCGTATCGCTAAGGCTCGATCAGCATTTGTCAATCTGAGGCACTTGTGGCTTCGTCGCGACGTCTCATTCTCACTAAAGGGCCGCGTTTACAGCGCATCAATTCGCTCATTATTGTTGTGTGGGTGCAAGTCCTTGCGGATTCGCGTGGAAGACATGCGTCGTCTTTCTGTGTTCGATAACGGTTGCTTAAGGAGGATTGCTCGTGTTTGGTGGCAACATCGAGTTAATAGTAATGACGTTCGACGTCGCATCTTGGGGAATGCAAGTGTTTCCTTCAACAAACTGGTTTTGCTGCGGCAGTTGTGATGGCTCGGTCACGTCCTAAGCATGGCAACGAAGCGTCTACTGCGTCGCGCTCTATTCGCTCGTCAAGGACCTGGCTGGAGGCGACCGCGTGATGGTTAGCCTTCCACTTGGCGGCAGCACATGAAATCGCTGACCTAGTGTCTAGTCGCTGTTGGATCCGTACGTCTTCCAGGCTGGGGACCCAAAGATGAAGAGTGCCAATGGCTTAGCACTTTTGAAGACGTGGCCTGCAACCGGAATCAATGGAAGAATTGTATACAGAATTGCATTGATTCACATTTTTTATACTACAAACATTGAAAATGACAAAAAGAGAGAAAAAGCGGCGTGTGAAGAGCAAACTAAAAGTGCTTTGTTCTACTTTTTGTCCAAATGTTCCTTTCTTCCTGCAGCATATTAGTTGAAGTGTGTTGCTCACCTTCAACTGCCATACCACGATGATTATGACGCGGTGACGGTCCCTCATTTGTTAATCTCGATGGTTTTATGTTGGCTCTGTGTCTAGTTGATAGACTGCTGAGATTACTACTATGCTACCGAGTCCCACCAACTTAAATGTTTCTTATATTTCGCTTATCGTCACTCTGGTCACGTTCAGTTTATCTCGCGTTTTAGGTTATTGATCGGATCCTTTACAAATTGGACGATTTGGTTCGCCCCTATGTACACAAAATTTTGGTCGTCATCGAGCCATTATTGATTGATGAGGATTACTATGCTCGCGTGGAAGGTCGCGAAATCATTTCGAATTTGGCCAAGGTGGTTGCGTTACACTGTACATTTCTTTTTAAGCCCGCCTTTTTCACATTCACATTCAAACGGTAGGAATCACTGTGCTTAAACATGTTTTCCTGTGACCTGCCGTTGGTCACTACTGCGTGCGCAATTATTCATTTCGTCCTGCACCAGTGTTTGTGGCTGTTAAATCAACTTTCTGCACTACCCTTGTGTATTGTAAACTCACTCCCCATTGACTTCCCAACCCGGCTTATAGCTGGATTTTTTATTATGTGATCGTTCTCTACCTAAGAACGTCGCTCTCTTTTAGTTCAGATTGTATTCTATTTGGCTTCCCAAAAAATCGCCGCTAGTCTCTCCGGTTTTCACACTATTTACCGTTTCCATATGATTATGGCCATCCTGATAACATCTTTCGAGTCGGAAACCGTTAGTTTTGCCATTGTGCTCGCTTAATCTCAGTCAACTTAGCATGCTCCTCACGTCTCGTTGCCTTAGTACCGGTTCATTCTTTTCTGTGATCTTTTATCCCTCCGTCGTGATTGTTTTGCAATCTTATCATAGGAGTTAGCTTCGTGTCGCATTTCGGCATTAGTATCGTGGTTACTTTTGTTCTTCATCCAGTCTATTGCGTGCATTCCTTCCGCGAAGGCGCCGGGGCGTTACCAACTGTCTTTGTGCCGAGCTCAGAGGCTCCTGTGTAAATGGACCGATTTACTGGCAATTTGTTAAGCCGTCATATGAAACCCTGTTTCGGTCGATACCTTAGTCAGTCGCACCTTTATTGCTGTTAGGAAACACAACAGTTCCCGCAGCCTTGTCATATTTAGTCGTCTTTACCGCAATGCTAATGTCAAGTCTGCTATGCGTGCGCAATATTCTGCTCTCTTCTCTACCTGTATCTACCCTCCCCTTCATCCACGCAATTTCTATGTTGCTCGGATCCTGTCCCTGGCGTTTCAGAGCCATTCGATTTCTTGTCATTGGTTATACTGACGATAGTTTATCCATGGTTGGCCGCCAACGACTGGCTGTTATGCAAGAATAGATTGACATCCTTACGGATCTCCCACCTCCTTGTCATAATCATGTAATCAGCCTGACTAAGTACGTTAACCGATACGCAACCGATGCCGATTGTGTGCACACAACAGCAACTGAAATCATACTCAAACCTTATCTAGCTCTTATTGTTAGATCTGGCCATTTTTATGCGATTCCGGTTGAATTGGTCTCGTCCTATGCCAGCTCCGAATCCCAACCAAAATAAAAAGTAACATCTGGAGGAAGAAGCGAGCTGCAGAACAACCACTGAAAGAGTGTATAAGACGAATGGACACCTGTGGGTCAGCGCAGGAATATCCACAGTCCAGATCAGATAAGTCGGATGCCCTAATTGGTAATTCAGTTACGCTAGCCAATGGGAAACCGAGTACGCGCACTATGAGGGTATGCAGGTGTTCTCCGAGCTGGCTGATTTGGCCGCAAACGTTTCATCCTCAAGCTAGACGACATCGTCAGTGCGATTTTTGCTTGCCATTTACAGATCCAAGTGATCATTAATCACTTACTGATTCGAACTTCAGGAGTCGATTGATCCACGTGAGCTGACCGTGTAGACAGCTCTTGCGTACTGTTGGCTAGAATCGGCCTCAGTGACGTTCCTTTGTCCTGTTGATCTGGGGCGGAGTATTGATTTGACCCTCAAAACTTCATAGGCACTATCTATATCTAAGTGTCCGTTGATTGCGTTCTTCCCCGAGTACCAAGCCGCGAGGAACGCGCGTGCCTTTCGACTTTTTGCCCCGTCTATGGTGCTGACATTTTCCAAATCAAACTGATGATTGTCGGCGTTTATATGTGCCGACATCAGGGAGTTCCGGTCATGTTGGCGGATGGCTAGGCTACGCTCATGTAGTCTAGTACCGAGCTGCCTTCCTGTCTGACTCACGTAGTATGTGTTACAATTTTTGCAGTGGATTTTGTAAAGCACACAACTTATTTATTTGCCAAGCCGGTCTTTACCATTGAAGAGCTTGTCTCGAATAGTTTCTGTCGGCTTGTGAGCAACTCTGATTCCGAAAGGTAGTAGCAGTCTCGCCGCCATCTCAGAGACGCCGTTGATGTATGTTAGTTTTCGGTGTCGCATTGGAGTCACTGGTGATTCCGACTGTTTTTCTAAGTCATCTCATGCACTCCATAGCTTAGGCGCTACATTAGCAGTCGGTTTGTATTTTTTAGTCAATTGTCAGTTGCTGTGGGGAAGTAACCAGCTGGTTATATGCGTTTAAGCGAAGTTCCAATTAAATGTTTTAGGGCTTCTATTTTGTTAAAAGGCAGGATTTTATGATAGAAAACCTTTTCCTTCTGGTTTGCAGATGCGCTTGTGCACTGTCATATTGTTTCCTTTTTTCTTGACTTAGTCATTTCTTTTTCATTATTACTCTCATCTCCTTTGCAAGCTTTGTATTATCACGAATAACTTAATTCATTACGAGCCGACGGTATGGTACTTTTCCAGCAATTAATAACACCTACTTTCCTATCGCCTTCTCATTGCGTGCGTTGCGCGAACTTTTGTGAAAGCGCCACAATGACGATTTTTCTTGCGTCACCGCGGCGACATGAATTACATCACACATTACCAAAGGCCGCAGTACCTAGCCTTACACTTGACAATGTAAAAGCTTTTTGACGGACTTTAAATGCGCATTTGAAGCTCATTCTCGCTTAGAACTTGAGATTCCTTGGCAAACTCGCGGTACCTAAAAGCAGTGGTCTTACGATGTAAACTACTCATCAAGGCTATGCTCTTCTAGCGGCAATGCGCTGTACACGTCTTTGTTTTGATCCAAATTCCCCTATATCATTTGGCGCTAATTGCTTCTACGACGTTGCAAATCTAATAGTCGTTGATTACATTTGTTCCATTTTTGCTTATTTATCTTGCCTTATATCTTCACTTTCCTACTGGTTTACTTAAGATCGTATAGTTAACTGTACACATTTTCGTAATCGTTTCTTCACACCACATGTGTAAATGCGCAGTGCGAAAAAGCGGCTATCGATCTCACATGCTCTTTAGCTTTTGGCCCAGATAGTCCAAGAAATACGCCGACCGACTGTCTTCAAGTCTTTTTAAAATCAATCAACCTCTTAGAACCTACCTATATCATAGAAATTGTGCCTTGTTGTATTATTGTGCTCATCTAACCCTGACTCTAAGGATATTTATCTCAGTTCCCACTGATTCGGTCGTGTCCTCAGTTTCATTAATTAGCTGGAGTAATCAAAAGTCAGTGTTAGCGAACATGTTTTCGATAATTCCTCTTCAGGCTAGTACAAGTATATACCAGTTACAACAATTAGGCAGACTGCTGATGTCGTTAAAATGGAGTGCAATCAATTTGAAGAGGTCAGCCATCGCTATTAATCAGCTCAATGTTGGAGCCTTCACGCGATCCAATTGAGTAAAAGTCACTATTCGATCGGACCAGGGCATCTGTAAGGTCTGGACATATCGCTTCTGAGTGCACAAGTTCGGTTCGTGCAGCCGAATCGCGATAGCTTCAGCGGCTTCTAGTATCCGTCTGCGCATATACTTCGATCGATTATCCTGGGCGGGATGAACGTCGGCATACCCACCGTGGCGTTGGAGTTTCTGCTTAGATGCGCATTTAACGTCCAATTTTTACTTGACGGGGAGATATACTGGCAGCGAGATAGAGTGGCGATGGGTTCCCCCCTCAATACAGTACTCGCTGATATTTTCGTGGGGATGCTTGAACAAGAGAGCCTAAAATCAGCCATCGCAAATCTTATCCTCCACCGCCGTTATGTCGACATATCTTCGATGTTTTAGTCCTCCCAGTGTATTGAAGATATTGTCAACACTTTTAACCGGGCCCATAAAGCGATGTATTTTACCTCGGGAGTAGAGGCCAATTGCTGTGTTCACTTTCTTGACGTGGGCCTAAAGTGACTTGGTAGCCGGATATTGCAGTGCCACGTATATAGAAAAGATTCGTGGGACGGTCAGTACACCAACTTCCACAGCTCCGTGCAGCAGGCTGAAACGGGATTTAACCCATAATCTAGTCAATAGGGCAGAGAATCTGCTCGCATGATACACTTGCTGGGTAACTGCAGCGATTATGTTCGATGCTGCGGAAATGGCTATCCATATCGCTTCATAAAAGTCCACGTGTAGCAGAAGAACACACCGAAGGTCTCAACAGCCAACAGCAAGGCAATTATCTTACAACTTCCTTTCAAATGGAAATCGTCGCCGAAATTCTTATTCGCTGTCTATCACAGGAGCTCAGACGGACGTTCCCAGCAGCAAATTTACAGACCTACTTTACCAGCACAGCTAATGAAGCTGTCTCAATAATAGTAGACTTGTTCACGACAACTCCATATGCATCTATTCATTTACATGTTCATGTGGAGCAGAATACATTGGTTGTACAACTAGCTATCTATTTGAGAGAGTGCAAGAACTCTGTCCTGCATGTTTAGCCTCTGGATGCAGAAGTGTATGTAACAGCCATAGCTGCCCACCTCGCCTACACTTGGTGCAACCCTAAGTCAGCCGAAGCATACCAAATTATCTGCAAGGCCCCGGATGATCGGGCAAGGTATACGCACAGATGGATATTAGAAGCCGCTGAAGCTATCACGATTCAGCTGCACGAACCGAACCTGTGCACTCAGAAGCCATTTGTTCAGGCCTTAAAGATGCCCTGGCCCGATCGAATAGTGACTTTTACTCAATGAGATCGAGCTGATTAATGGCGATGGCTGACCTCTTCAAATTGATTTCACTCCGTTTCAACGACCTCAGTAGTCTGTCTAGTTGATGTAACTGGTATATACTTGTACTAGCCTGATGAGGAATTATCGAAAACATGTTCGCTAACACTGACTTTTGACTATCTAATAAGCTTCTTTAAATGAAATAGCTTTCATTTGCATACATTTTTGACGTATAGTCAACAACATTCATTACCCATTTCTATACCAAGTAGTTATACACATGCCAAAGCATCGATGACTCGTTTCTTGAAGTATCTATTTGTTTTAGTCCATGTTTGTCGCTCCGCTCCTTTTCATATTGTTGTCTGTGCTCTTCTCTCCGCCGGACCAGGCTGCCGGACTGGCTACCATGATATCGACGATGCGTCCGGATATTGATAATATGGATGAATACGTTCGGAATACAACCGCTCGGGCGTTTGCCGTTGTTGCTTCTGCCTTGGGTATCCCTAGCTTATTGCCATTTTTGAAGGTTAGTCGGAGCTTTTTTTATCCTCCATTGTCTACTGTTTCCTCTGATCATCGCACAAGGTTATCGTTCAAACGGCTACCATTATCTGTGCCTTCCCAAAGCTACACGTCTTCTGTCTCTTGAACTTTCGTTTCATATGTACTCTACTTCAACAGGAATATTGCAGCACAACTCTGTTTCACATGACCTTACGGGCGCTCCTGCCACCAGCATAGCCGAACATTTTGTTTGGCTTATCCCCTCTTTTATCAATCTCTACCGAACATTTATCGGATTATTTGCTTAATCTCGGCCTTTTCGCTTCCTCGTCTCCTTTTCCTTCGATTTCCAGCAAACACTTTTATCAACTTGGTATATACTTACCCAAAATATCAGTGTCATCAACTTAGCAATTGGTTCTGCGCGGTCTCTAAGTCAAAATGTTATCAGCAGTACGCTGGTACACCATACCGACGCTTCACTGCTACGCGACCACCGGTCGCTCCTATGCTGAGTATTCAGCGAGGACGCCCGCCCCTACGCGGATTCGAACCGGTGACCTAATGGGTTGCAAGCGAGGCGTACAATCCTCTCGGCCACCGGCCGATCTGTCTCCAAGAGTTGACTGTTACCGGTTTCCATTTGAGCTAACCAATGATATCGGCTTTTCCTTGCTCCCCGGGCGTTTACTTTTCTGTGATTCACGATGCGCCTTTGGTTGTTTGTAAGATTGACGCAGACACGACTGCTTTGTTGGCCTTATTTCTCGTGCATTTTCTAATGGAGTCGATGCGGCCTCTTGTTACTACTTATTCGGTCGCCTCGTTCAAGCGCACGCTTGTTTTCTTCACTCATTTCCCTTACGATGCAATTCTTGGTAGTTAGGTCCATCGCGATTTGTGTCATAGTTGGCCGAGTCAAGTGACTGCGCACCGCTGACTTATTGCAAGATTTCTCCTTTCACTATACCCATCCCTTTCATTTTGTCCCTAGGCTGTATGCAAATCAAAGAAGTCTTGGCAAGCACGACACACCGGCATTAAGATTGTGCAACAAATTTCCATTCTCATGGGCTGTGCTATTCTGCCCCACTTGCGGAGCCTGGTCGAGATCATTGAGCACGGCTTGGTAGATGAGCAGCAAAAGGTGCGCACCATAACTGCTCTCGCGCTGGCCGCTTTAGCTGAGGCCGCCACGCCTTATGGGATCGAGTCTTTTGATTCTGTCTTAGAACCACTTTGGCGGGGAATACGGACACATCGAGGCAAAGTAAGTTAGCTCTCCTTTCCTGCAAATGCTGATAATCGTCTTTCTTCGTTCATTTACCGTACTCCTTTTCATTCAGGGATTAGCTGCCTTTCTAAAGGCTATTGGCTACCTCATTCCCTTGATGGATGCCGAATATGCCAATTATTACACTCGAGAAGTAATGTTGATTCTCATTCGTGAATTTCTTTCTCCGGATGAAGAGATGAAAAAAATCGTCCTCAAAGTTGTCAAACAGTGCTGTGCTACAGACGGTGTAGAACCAGACTATATCAAGGCCGAAATTCTTCCTCCGTTTTTCCGGTCTTTCTGGACTCAGAGAATGGCTCTCGATCGTCGCAATTATCGTCAGGTAAGTCGAAGGTTCCATCTCACATGGACGTGTACCTGCGGTCACTTTCTGTCAAAGTAGCTATCCAATATAAACCCTTCGTTGCCTGCGGAAAACTAAGTGAATCTCATCAACTAATGCTTATCAACTTTTTGGGTAGTCTTAATCTGGTCAGTGTCACTTGCTCGGACGACACTCTTTACATTGACTTTCTCAAACATTCATGTCTCCGTGTCAGCATGTGCCATCTGTGCTGATCAGCACGATCTAGCCACGTCTTCTTGGGTAAATCCTCTCTCACTTTGTGTAGTTGCAACTGTTTTTCTCCATCCTCATTTATGACTAATACCATATGATATCAGTCGAATTTGGATCAAGTGCCATAGCAGAGATCACTCCCTGCCATCTTGTGTGCTTCCTAATTATCACATTCCTCAACATTAACCACAACACATCATCCATTTGAGCTGATGCTTCGTTGTCATACAATCACGGTGACCTACAGAATGATGAACAATAAGAGAGAGAAGGGGGACCTAGCGTAAAACATTAATGCAATTAACAAACCCTCCAGGTCATAGCATGTATACCTCGTCAACAACATACCATCACAAACAGCTGCTCATCTTGCACAGGTAAGGCGGCATCGGCGAGATAGCTTCCCTGCTGCTTTCACTGCCCCGCGTCATAATCAGCCATTACCCCGCAAATAACTCAGCGCCAAACGCATGTTAAACAGGTCGTCCGACTAGGAGACGGCAGCAGATGCGTCACTGGTACTGACTGCGAGCCGTTTCCTTTAAAGTCTCGAGCCAAGCACAAGGCTAGCCACTTGACTCCAATCTGGAAGGCGAGACGGACCTACGTAACTCAGTTTTGTAGTCAGTGACTTCAATTCTCGCTCTGCCCACGGGCTTTGCGCCACCCTACCTCTAGCATGCAAAGCAAGACTCTCCTCGGTAAGCAGTGACCAGGCACACGTGGTACGTGTCCAAGCCAACGTAGCTTATCAGTGCTATCTGTTATCCTTAGGAACTAGCACGATTATCACTACATAGCACTCGCCTACGCACACCATTGTTGCGGACACGCTGGTGACACGGTGCCAGCAATGCTTCACAGACAATGTTGAAGACGCCACAGGTCCTCTGCTCGAAGTGGCCCTCACTGTGGCCTTGTAAATGAAGCCTTCCAGGCCGATGGAAACCCCTTTAGGGCGCCGCAAATCTCGCAACTTCAAAAAGCAGTTCTGGCTTACGCAATGCGTGAATTGATTTTGGTTGCTATGCTCCCATCGATGTTGATGCGGTTGTCAAGGTAGGTGATCACTTATTTGAGTTCCTCGCCATCAAGTGGTTGTCCAATGGCTGATGGTCCTGTAACAAAACTTCACACTTTGAAGGTACATGGCGCATGCTAAATAATGGTACCAAGATCAGCTAGCTTTTCACCAGGCATTCTCTCAACGCCTGCATCTTGAGGCTCCGTGGTGTAGTCCACGACAAAGTAGAACAAACATGTGGAAGTCAGGTAGTTCTGACGAACGCCACTTGTTGTCGGAAAGGCATCCGACAGATCGCAGTTAAGCCTGACGCGGTCCAGGGAACGTAAACCGTTCACATATTTCATGTGAACACCTTTTCGCGCAAGCATTTTGAACAGTGAACCGATCGATTGAGTCGAACGCGCTTTTGATGTCCCGGAACACAGTTATTGTCCGTCCGCGGTGCGTGTGGCACTGCTACAGCAACTGCCGCTGAATGAATATGTGGTCTATGCTGCCCCGTTCGGGGTGGAAGCCTGCTTTCTCTTCCCTAATTCAACAATCTCATTCCGAAGTGAGGCGACGAAAAAGACTTGAAACCAGTAATTTTGTCACTACTGGCGTTAGGTTAATACCCCTGGGGTTAGCACAGTCGATGCGGCTGCCCTTCTTATACATCGCCCACTATAATGGATTCGCTCCGCTTAGCTTGGATGGTCTCTGCCTTCCAGACCTGTTCGGACAGGTCAGTGCTTTGCAGAGAACTTTATCACCACCCTTAAATAGTGCGAGTGTGAAGGAACTCGGGTTTCTGACCTCAGCCTTCGACAGAGCGTTTTAATTAACCGGCCATAGCTTAATTTGCAACACCTGTGTAGGAGGTGGTTCAGAAGCAGGAGGACAACTGAAGTGCTCTCGAAGGTGCCGAGCCCAACGAGCTTTACGGTGCTCCTTCTTCTGAATCAGTGCACCCGCGCTGTCTTTGGTTTTCTGGGACCATTGATGCGGACCGGTCGGAAGAGCTTGTGTTAATTGCCTACTGCTCCTATCTCTTCCATTTCTTGAGCTTTTCTAGTCCACCAGCTTTGCTTGTCAGTACGGAGGCTCCGCTTTAGTTTGCGCCTAATAGTCCGTCTGGTCACATTGTGTTCACAGCCAGCCGGGAGTTTTGTTCTGGATTCTAACAGGTTCACCGACTTCTCGGATATGGAGTTACTAATGCGCTGACGATTAATAGTGCCCCAAGCGAAGGATCCTGTATGGTGCATCGCGGCCATGATTCTATTCCACTGAAGCTCATTATCATTAAAACAAAACAGCGAAAGTTCGGTACGCAGTGCGTCTTGATAGGCTTGCCTGACCAAGAGCTGAGATGACTTCTCAGTTACCATTCGAGGCGGACACTTAGTACGCCTCCAGGTAAAGTCCATAGAACAACGACAACGTACCAAAGTATGATTAGGATATTACAGTAAGAGCGATAACCCAGAATGAAACCACGCCATCTGTAACTTGTGGCAATGTGATCTATTAAGGTCCATCACTGGCCACCAGGTGGACGCTAAGTGGGGCACTTCGGCACCCATTGTGCCAACAAGCGGTGCTACTAGAAAGCAGTCGATGCTTCACACATAGCTTTAACGCACGCTTGCCATTGTCTGTACGATCGGAGTTAAGTCCGTACTCACTGCATAGCAGGGCTTCTGGAGAGGTCAGACGACCTACTTGCGCATTCATATCCCTTACAAGAACTATGATATCTGAACCAGTAACACTGCGTAGTATCGGGTTCAATTCGTGGTAGAATGCGTCCTTGGCAACATCAGAACTCTATTAGCAGAAACCACACACAAACATCGTCTAGTGCTACCTCATGAAACAGCCGCGGTTTATGTCGTCAGATGGCTTGCACAAAACGGCTGCTCACGAGAATCCAATCAACCAGCGATGACAGCGTCGGAGCTGAGAACAGTGCCCTCTCCAACCTGATCAATGGTTGCCGCATCAGCGTCTCTGAATGCGTGCAGTAAATTCAACAAACCCGTGAGGGTCATCAATCCTATTTTCGGATGCACAACACACGTCAATATCCGGTCTGTCCAACGTGCGTGCGTGTACAGCCTGTTGATCTATTTACCTTTGAGCGCGAAAGTTGAACGCCGCCAGGGAAACGGGACAGTATGACCTTAAAAGAGCTGTTAGCGATTGGTTTCCAGTGGGTGGTGTGGGAAGGTAGCTGCAGCTGTAATGACTCAAGTGTCACTGCAGTTGCTGCCAATTAGGCTAGTAATGGGGATTGGGCCATCGTGACGATACTGGATCTTAATGGGGTGTGATGGTTTGCGTGCCTCAGCGATTCATTGGGCTATGCTGAGTGGTGCTTTTACACCTTTTGTGCCACTCATACCAGATTGCTCAATGGTTAGAGGCTAGACACTCAGCTTCCTGGTTGTGGTTTGGAATGAGGTTGGCTCCTTATTCCTTAGGACAGATTCCTTGTAGCCCACTGCTAGACCCGCTGCCTTGCGGTCAGGTTTTTGAACCAAAGGCTTTGGTTAAGAACCATTATCATTCTCCTGTCTAGGCCTGGGCAACCTGACCGTATCCTGCCCACGCGATCCTATGAATCTTTCATCAAACAATTTCCTAATGCTCTGACCACCGCAGAGGATAATCAACGGTGCCCTATTTGCTGCATTGAGCAGGGTGGTTAGGGGGTTTGAATGCTACTGCTCAAGCCTTCCTATCTTCTTATTACCCGTCTTACGCTTTTTCGCCCTTTTCACCCCGTTCCAGCTTCACTTTAACCCCCCTGTTTTCAAACTTCCAATTCTTAGTCCTCCTCCATCTTGGTTCTGTACTCGTTAGTCTTCTACTTTCGGCTCACACACAATCGCAGGGCGTCGCTCAGGTTGGTTGGTTCATGTTCAGCCAAGCGAACAACATCAGTTCAACTGCTTCTATTTGGAGCGCATGATCCTCCTTAAAACTGCCATGCCTCAGTGTGCGCACTTTGTTGCAGATTGGTCAACAAGCAGCATTTGCCCGAACACTGGAGACTCTATCACTTGATAGCTGCTGCTTAACAGAAACTCGCTTGCAGCGTTCGAGTTCTGTACTTACCCTGCGATCCCCAGCATGTGACACTGGCGGTATTTTCTCATTGCGCTTGTCCGGAGATGACTCAGCTTCAAGCCCTTGTTGGCATTGCTCTTAGCCCCCGGGCCGAATTTGTTCTGATTGACTGGATCCCTTTGAACAGCCGGATGTGCGCTGTCAGATTGGCTGGGTCATTCGGCGCCTCTAAATCGCGTAGGTACGAACGGTACTTGTTTGTCATTGCGGCCTACGTCCCCACAAATTGTGACGCTAACTTGGTGAAAACTGAGTTTGTTCACCAACTAAACGCGCTCCGTTACAGGTAAAGCACGGGTACTGTGTTGCTGGCTGGTGATTTGAACGCCCAAGCAGGAAAACGCAGCATGTCGTCCAACCGACGCGCATCTTGTTCTGACCTAATGTTTACGAGCTGCGAGCAGAATCTGTAAGAGGTCAGAGTCCTCGAACCTCTGGCGACAGAGGCGACTGCACCATTGTAGCAAGCATAGAACTGCCATTACCGTATTACAACTACGGAAACAGACGTTCAAATATTGGAAGACAGATTTCAACGGGCTCTTCCAAACCACGAGTCAAACTCTACCATAGGATTCGTCGCTTGAGACCTGTTGGTCATTAATGAGGGGGAAGCTTAACTCGCTGTGTACTCGGTTCGTTTCTCTGAAGTATCCAAAAGTCGGACCTGTCAAGCTGCATTGGTGTGATAAGGGATATAAACAGTTAGCGCGATGGTGTCGCAAACTTCAAGATAGATACACCATCTTCGGTTGTGATAAGGATTAAAGTGTACAAGATACATCGTAACATATGTAACGCCGCAATGATCAAGAAACGTCGGCATTTCGAAGAGAAGCTAGCAGCCTGGGTCACAACCGTCTCCCATAAGAATATTTGTCTACCTGAAACTTCAGCGGAAACCTGCGGACGACTTACCGGTTCCAGAGAGCTTGGACGGACAGTCGCTCATTTCAAGCGCGGAACACGCGCTTCCTCACCTTATTTTTCAGTAAACCGGTGGCTGTTCTAGTACCGGCACAGGTTGCACCAGCTTACAATGTGATACAGACGAAGTGTATCAGCTACTCGTCAGCTTCGATGGTACAAAGCTCCTCAGCCCAGGCGGACTACAACCCCATCGAATGTTGTCATCTCACCAGCCGTGACAAACCTATTCAATAAATCATCCTCTGAAAGATCTGTCCCGAACGACTGGAAATGCTCGATAGTAAGACCGCTTCCCAAGGGTGGTGACCTGAGTAAACTAGAGAACTATAGATCGATCTGTTTGACTTCGATACTATCCATCGTTCTCGAGAAGGTTGTGAAAAGTCTCTACTGTCGTTCTTCGAATCGATGGACGTATTGACGCCAGCGCGACACTTCTTTACGCATGGGTGATCCTGCATCCCCAACTTGATATGCGCAAGCCACCAGTGGGTACGAGGTCTCAACGAACGGAAGGATGTTGACGTGGTGTACATCGACTTTAGTAAGTCATTTGAAAGATTCAACTACGATGTATTCCTGCGTAAACTGAGGACCTACGGAATCGGTGGCACGCTACTTCAGTGGTTACACGAGTTTATTGTGGGACGAAAGTTTAGAGTGCAGGTCAATGACTACCTGACAGACTGGTTCCCGTCGACCAGTGTTATTTCTTATTTGCATCAATGGTCTCACGCCACAACTCCAGTCACCATGTACACTGTTTCCAGATGATTTGAAAATCTGGAGGATCATTGAGAACCAGGACGATTGCCTTCGTCTCCAGTATGACTTAGATCGACTGTCAACCTGGTTCACTGAGATTCAACTCCCTGTTAAAGCGAACAACTCGGAGTTCATCAGTATCACCAAACGTACAGCCACTCGATCATACACCTTATCCACTCCATCACGTCTGTCAGAGACTTAGGAGTTCTCTCGCGACATGATATGGGATCACTATAAAATACCGAGAAATTGTACCGTGCGGGACCTCGTATGCTCTGGGCATCAAGACGCACTTTCCCCACATGGTCTAAAGAAATCGTCCCTCGCCTATTCACCTCAATCATCCGACCAATCATTGAATACGGCGCCTTAGCTTGCCATCCAGTAGCCCAGTGGGAAACAGAAAAACTGGAGAAAATACAGCACATCACACCTAGAATGATACCGAGTCTACGAAAGCTTCCGTATGAAAAGCGTTGTGAACGGCTCTGACTCTACACACTGTCCTACCGCCGAGTATGCATTGGCCCTATTATCATCCCTCAAATACTACACCTGAATCACTTCCCTCTACTGCGTTCAATATATCGCCTGCGAGAACCCTGGAATACTCAAGAACACCGTTACAAACTCATGGTTCTATGCATGAACAGCGTATCGCATCAACTTCCTACAAAACGAAGAATCGTAAACTTATTGAATACGCAACCTGAGGGACTGATAGGGGTTGATTCCGTAAAGTGTTCCAAAACACGTATCGATGACTATTTCGGAAACGTGCTTTTGTGAAACGGTGTACATACAATGCAAAAGATACGTCCTGTACCCGGAAATAATAAAACCAATACGAATTCCTGGCCCAACAGCGATAAACGAGTAACTGACCAAACACCGCTGATAATCCGTAATTAAATGTTTAATTTTTCATAATTCTATATTGTACAGAAACTTTTCTACCTGCTTTTGAATATTATCTCGAAAGTTAGCTGCACTGCATTTGCAGCTTAGCTCATGTTTGGTGTAAACGCCGCGTGAGCAGTGCGTTTGTTGGCGTCGTGTATTTGGTGCAGGAAAAGCGAGTGAACCGTTCACTACCATTATATCACGCACCAGGCTTCGATGGCTGGACTACGTGTTGCGCATGCCAACACACTGACTCCCGCATCGTGCGTTTGCGCGCCCAGGGTCTGGATAGAAGAAGAAGAACGAAGTCCCTCACTTAGAACTTGGCGTCGGTTGGTGTTTTTCGACTGTGTGACTGGAGTCCGAAAGACAATGAACACGTCTGATTAAATAAGCTTGTTGACATGGCGAGGAGCCGACCTCAATGGCGAGTTCATTTGTCCTCCCCCCTCCTTAGCTTCACACTTCTAAGAACCATCTCATACCCGATGTGCAAAATGCTATTTAGCATTATATCATTTTTTCAGTTTTTAATCTCTAACATTTTATATTTGCTGCTTATGTATCGCAGCATACTAGCTAGGATTTTTTTCTTACTATCGGCCAACGTGTATACTGATGATGATGGTTATCTCGCTACTGGGAATGATACTGTTACCCACATAAATGGAATGATGGATCAATCTAAGTGGGGTTGTTCGGTGATGCTAGGAGTTATTAGTGAGGTAGCACAATCCTGCAACAGTGCTTTGCATTTTTGTGTTACAATGCACAAACCAAAACATTCTGTGTCGCTCACCGACTCTTTAGTAGCGCTCTAACATCAGTTGTCTTCGATCCGAAAATTTTATGGTCTACACAGTCGATTGTGCAGCACAACTTCTAGTTCAGATCTGGAAAAGGACGAAGTATTTTCCAAGACTTCACTTGATTTCGTTAACAACTATCCATTCCCGCGTTCAACATCAGTAATTCGTTTTTTGACGGTGTAAGCCTCTGGGGCTCTCACATGTTCACTCTCCTAGTACCATTTTAGTGGACACATCTCGGCTTTTTAAGTTCGGTGTAGTTCGTTTCCCTTTCTCTGATTTTTCACTACTTGTATTACGTGTTGCCTTGGCGACGTCTCGCTTTGAGATAGCTTATTCAACGGCTAGCCGCAGTACTGCACCACTTGCTTTGAAAACCGCGTCATACTTTCGATGATGATTCCATCAGTTTCATAACGCCTTTATGCTCTCCCTGATTTTCAGCTTGTTGATACAACTGTCGAAATTGCTAACAAAGTTGGTGCTGCAGACATCATCTCTCGTATCGTCGATGATCTGAAAGATGAGTCAGAGCAGTACCGCAAGATGGTAATGGAGACCATTGAGAAAGTTATGTCTGCTTTAGGTAGCGCTGAAACAGACGCTCGCTTGGAGGAGCAGTTGATCGATGGGATTCTGTATGCTTTCCAAGAGCAGAGCACTGAGGTGAGCGTTCATTGGTTGTCTGATCGTTTTCTGAAAATCGACTGTTGTGTGTGAGCACATGTCCTATGCCGACGGCGCCGTCATCCTTGTTTCGCCAGACTGTTTTATTTGAACATCTGTGGCGATTGCATTCCGCCTCACGGTAAGTAGCCTTGCCCACTCTGATTCAACTACGCCATTTTAGGTCAGCTCTGGATCGATCCATCTTGCATTTTCCAATCATAACTATTTTTGACAGTTTTATCTAAGACATCCGTGCTTGTTTCAGGTTTTTTTACCTCGTGGTCCGCGTGTACGAACCCATATCAAGTGGTCGGAGCCCGCATGTGATTGCCGTGTGGATCTGCGGCTTGAATTTTCATTAGGACCAAGTCTGCGGTTCCTTGATCGCTCTCCTTTTATGGGTTCATTGTCATAGGCTACATCCATTGTCAAATTTTCTGCCTACTCCATTTTTGCTGTTCTCTCTCCCACGGTTCTGTATCCGTAGGCCTACGGACGGCGATGTTTCGTTAGGTTCACATTGAATACTGAAACAAGTATTATAGTCTCGAATTCTGCTACGCTAGTTTAATAATGAGTCTCAATGTCATGCAGAAGTAATTACATTGGTTCCAATTCATGCAATTTGACCACACTTTTCACTATCTTATTGCCGCAGCCAACACAGGATTCGACTTATTCGGTGTTAACTTCTTGATACCGGTTTCCATCCAATTCTGCTCCTCTATTCAACTTAACCCACTAATGCCTGTAGGTTCGGGGTTTTCTGTGTCGGTGCTTTCATGTCCGCATCAGTCAATCTAATCTGACTTCCATCTTGTATGTAGGCTTTTCTCAGCCTCTCTTTCCCAACTGGCTTTGCCTCCTTTAGTTGTTTGCTATTCTATTGGGATCTTTACAAGGACACCGTTCGCACACAAATTATCCCGTCTCCACTATGTAGCACATGATACATCTCAAGACAATAAGATCAAAACAATCATGGAGAAGAAACACTTCTGTCCTAAGGTATGTTCACCGCAGTCACCGCATCGTCTTTTCCGTCGTGAAATGGGATTACTCTGGTCTGCGTCTTATTTCAACACAGATGTGCAACGAGTTTTTGGTCCCAGCGTCTACCATGGATTGAACCGTTCGTTGTTGCTATTGGGTTTTTCTTTTCCGTTGATCCTATTTTACAACTTCGGTCATACTTGATTAAGCCTATTCTTCCATTCCCCTTTGATAAGCCGTTTAAGTGTGACTAATATATCTACCGCGTTTACTTTAGGTACATACTTTCTGTGGGCCGGTTACCCTGTAGCTATGAGGAATTTCTTTTTTTACCTTGCGTGATATATTTCTAAAGGGGAATTAGTTGGTCTGATTTGTTTTACCTCCATTAAGGGGCGTTACTAACGAAAAAACCGTCCCCTATCTTCCTTCAGGATGTTGTCATGCTGACTGGCTTCGGTACGATTGTCCAAACGCTTGGTAAGCGGGTCAAGCCGTATTTACCCCAGATTTGTGGCACAATCTTATGGCGACTGAACAACAAATCGGCCAAAGTCCGCCAACAAGCCGCCGATCTTATCAGTCGGATCGCCGGTGTAATGAAAATCTGTCAGGAGGAAAAACTGATGGGCCATCTCGGAGTGGTGTTATACGAATACCTGGGCGAAGAGTATCCAGAAGTGTTAGGCAGCATTCTTGGTGCCCTCAAAGCCATCGTCAACGTAATCGGGATGACTAAAATGACCCCGCCTATTAAAGAACTCCTTCCTCGTCTGACGCCTATCTTAAAAAATCGGCAAGTCCCTGTCTTTGTGCGGTTGTTTTATATTTTATGTTCCGTGTGTGTCGCTTTGTGGACACCGAGCTGTCTTTTAACGGCTCTCGCTCCGGATTATCTTGCGTCAGAGTTGGTCATTCTTGGTCATATTTTAATCTGCTGCTAAATAGATCCAGTTGGAACTATGCTGGTCAGTTGTGAGATAAAACACCCATCTGCATTTTTTCACATCTTGGCGTCAGTAGCATCGTTTGCCTCAAGATTTGTCTGATACAGCCTACTCTTCATTTTTCTGCAGATAATTGTAAAATTTCCCTGTTTTTGCAGTTAGCCATCTTCAATAATAGCGTACCAGTACGTCGTATTTGTGCTTCTCTAACACACCGTTTACAACCCTATCGACGGGGAATAAGAAGGAAAGAAGAGTTCTAGATATCCCAAGCAAATCTTCGACCTCAAGGTAGCAACATCACATACAAACAGATATTCATTATGCAGAGGCGGTATAGGCGGGTCAGATTGCTTAACTCTAAGCATCATACTCAATTTTCCCCCTGAGAGAGCTCGACATCATACAACTTCGCGCACGCGTCCTGTCTAAGAGACGACCGTAAACAAGCCATTGGAGCCCACTGTGCGCTATGTCGTCTACTGTGTCGAACAATCATCATCATCATACACGTTAGCTAGAGGTAGGGAACACCTCAGCTACTGTGCCGCAATACACAGAAAAAAGGAGAGGGAAAAAGAATTCAACTGGGGCAAGCCAGCTGAGCTACCGGTAACGGATGGGCATCGTTCCGGTAAGCTAACAGCCGGCTACTATGCATCAAAAAATTACTATGCAAAAATATATAAGGTTAAATAATGAGATCGTGGTTGGAGAGGGAGGCTAAGAGGGATGGGTGTGGACAAAGAAACTCACAGCACGAACGCCACTGAGGTCGGCTCCTAGCCATATCAGCAAGTGTATCCAACCAAACGTGTTCATCGTCTTTCGGACCCCAACCAGGGCGCCGAGACGCTCCAACTGAGGCCAGCTCAGAAGGGAGGGCCTTCATTCCTTTGCACCAAGTCATTGCTTGGCCATCCCTCCTCTTCTTCCATCCACATCCCCGGCGCGCAAACAACGCACGTCGCGGGAGTCGGTGGGCTGGCATGCGTAACACGTGGCCGAGCCATCGGAGCCTGGTGCGTGAAATAACGGTGCTGAGCGGTTCAGTTCCTTTTCCTGTGCCATAAACAAGGCGTCGGACACGCTCGTTGCTCACGCGGTGTTCCCACCAGATGTGAGCTAAATTACGAAGGCACCGGTGGTCGAACGTAACTAGCCTCTTCAGGTCCGCTGCTTTAAGCGGCCAGGTTTCACAACCGTACAGTAGGGTCGAACGTACTGTTGCATTGTACACTCTACCCTTCAGGGTGAGAGTGATGTCGCGCCGGCGCCATAAGTGGCGAAGGTTAGCAAAAGCGCCCCGAGCTTTTGCTATATGGTTCATGATCTTATCTTAAACCCCCGGGCGCTGATACAACTTGCCAGGTAGTTGAATTTTTGAACGACTTCTAGTTGATCCCCACCAAGGGTCAACGTAGGGGGCGGTCCAGACCAATCTTGGAGGAACGCTTTGCACTTCGAGGGTGCGAAGCAAAGCCCGAAGTGACGGACAGCTAGTGCTAACCTGTCCAGTGCCGCTTGGCACGTTTGTGAGCTGTCACACATTAGGGCAATATCATCAGCATACTCTAAGTCAAGAAGTCGTTCTCCTGGGAGTAGCTCCACACCTAAGTCGTGTCCTGTAAACGCGATTTCCATGACTTCGTCAACAGCGAAGTTGAAGAGGAAAGGTGACAGCGGGCATCCCTGTCTCACGCCGCTGGAGATACTAAAGGGCGACGACAACTTGCCGTAAGCCCTCACTCTGCCCGAGCTACGAGCATATTATGATCGGATAATATTCACATATTTCTCGGGCACACCTCTCTTGAGTAGACAGTCTTAAAGTGCATGTCTATCCACCGAATCGAATGCACCTTTGATATCGAGGAACACGACAATGGGGGGCCGCCAATATATGTGACGGTGCTCCAACAACTGACGCAAGGTGAAGATGTGGTCAATGCAGCCACGACCTCGACGAAATCCAGCTTGCTCTTCACGAATCTGGGTTTCACGAGTGCCAGTCAGTCTGTGAAGGATGACAGAGGCAAGCACTTCGGAGGTAATGGAGATCAGACTGATTCTTCTATGGCTGCCGCATTCCGATCGTGGGCCTCCTTTGAAAATTGGGAGCGGCTCCAATCGGTTGGGACAGTCTCCTGCTCGCACAGTTTCACTAGTAACTCGTGTAAATTATCCACAAGAGCAGGTCCACCGAATTTGAAGAGAACTGGAGGAAGATCATCTGGTCCCGCGGCTTCATTGAACTTCAACAGTTCGATCTCACGTTCGACTTCTGAGCGAGAGGGTGGATCCAAAGGGACAGCTCAGGGAGCAGGGCGATCACTGCCGGTGAGGGATCGAACAATTCCGACGGATTAAATTGCCTTTTAAAGTGCTCAGTCCAACGCTCTAAGCGTTTTGATAAGTTGTGGATGGGCTGTCCACTCTCGTCACGTATAGTTTCACTAACACCAGGTCTCATGCTGCCCGTTTCCCGTATCAGACGGAATAACTTACGATGGTTACGAAGGGCAGCGGCCATTTCCATCTCTGCTGCACGATGAGACCACCAGGATTCACGGTCTCTCTTCAGGCTAGCACGGAGTTTTGCCCGGAGATCTTTGCGAGTTTCATTGTGTTCGCTTCCAGCCGGAATATGCCGGCGAGCATCTAGAAGTTCCAGAGACTGTGAAGAGACCCAATGTCCATGTTGGCGATTAGACACACCACATGAGGATTATCCTGCTGCTAGTAAGGACTAGTGAATATGAGACCAGTGAGCGTTTATCCAACTCGCATGACAGCGTACTTTGATAGGCATTCAGGACAGCTGGCTTCGCCAGTTATCTGGTGTCAGTGCGCTCACAAGGTCGTCGTGGGCGTCCGCCAAAGCGCGTCCGAATGTCAGCACATACAAGTGCATGGTCGGTGTCCACACCTGTGCTCCAAATCGAGCGACAGTTCTGGACGCAGCCTCTCCATCGGTAAGTTATCGCAATGTGATCGATTTTCGTCCATAGCTGGTTCGAGGCTGGTGGGCACCAAGTCACCCTTCGGCGGGTGCTGTGTCGGAAATTAACGCTCGTAAGAAATAAGCGAGCATCCTCACGCAAATGAAGTAACCGCTCACCGTTATCATTACGGGAGCCTATACCATGTTGGCCGCCCAGATGCAGCTCATCTGTGGATAATTTTCCAACTTGAGCGTTTAGATCCCCAGCCAGCACTACAGTGTCCGAGCTTCTGTGGCTAAGGAGCTCGTTCAGTTGACGATAGAAGTCGTCTTTTACCGAGTCATCGCTACAGTTTGTCGGTGCATAGGCAGCGATGACGAATAGACAACTGTTATTCCCACGCGACTTCGAAGTTTTGAACGAGCCAGCCAATCGGACCGCACACATCCGGCTACTGATTGGGATCCAATCAACCAGAGTAGCTTCAGCCCGGGGACTCAGGGCAATACTAACACCGGCTTGGCCGGTGCTCGAAGCTGCATCGTCACCGGATAGGCGCAACGAGAAAGTGCTGCTAGTGTCACCTGAAGGGGATCGCAGAGTGAGTACAAAGCTCGAGTCTTGTAGGCGGGTCTCCGATATGCAGCAGATATCGATAGAGAGGGTCTCTAATGTTCGAGCAAGTGCTGCCTTTTGACCGATCTGAAGCAATGTGCGAACATTGAGGCATGCCAATCTGAAGAAGGATCGAGGGCTCCAAATGGAAGCCGATGAACTGGGCTTGACCGCTTGCTTGGACATGGGCCTGTTGACATGGCAGGAATGACGCTCCGCGTTCACATGTGAGTTGAAATTAAAAGGCAAGCGACTATTGAAGCAAGGTGGGAGAGGACCGAGAATTGGAGAGTTGAAAACAGGGGGATAAAAGTGAAGCTTTAACGGGACGATAATGGTGAAAAAGCGCAAGAGGGGGAATAAGAAGACGGGAAGGCTTGAGCAGTAGCATCCAAATCCCTATTCACCCTGCCCGATGCAGCAGATAGGGCACCGTTGATTATCCTCTGCGATGTCCAGACCATCAGAAATTTGTTTGAAGGGTGATTCATTATATTGCGTGGACAGGATACTGTCAGGTTGCCCAGGCCTAGACAGGAGAACGATTAGGGTTCTCAACCAAAGCCTTTGGTTAAAAAACCTGACCGCAAGGCAGCGGGTTTGGCGGTGGGCTACAAGGAATCCGTTTTAAGGAATAAGGAGCCACCCTCATCCCAACCTGGAGGACCAGGAGGCTGAGTTTGTCTGGCCTCTAGCCATTGAGCAATCTGGTATGAGTGGCTCTGAAGGTGCAAAAATGCACCACCCAATATAGCTCAATGGATCACAGAGGCACACAAACCATCGCACCACGGTAAGGTCCAGCCTCATTGCGATGGCTTTGTCGAACAAAGCATTTAGTGGACATCTTGGACTCCAACCTGGAGGGCAGGACGAACCTACTGCACTTAGTCTAACAGTCGGTGGGTTTGCTTCCCACTTCCAGACTAGTGGTTGCCCCTTTCTGCAATCATGCTCCATCCGCCGTCGGGAAAATGTGAGTGCTTCTCCGTAAACGATGCGTGGGATTGCGTTGCACTTGCCTGATTCATCGCGCCTAACACAGATCACCGCTGCCTAGTACTCGCCTGCGAACAAGTTGGTTTCAGCTGATGTAAGCAGCGGTCTTCAGGTAGGGCACCTGAGATACTCTGATCGAAGATGCCAACTTTCATTACTGTAAATCAAAGCGACCCCTACATATACTGTCTTCAAGATCGTAATGTGTCCCCTTATGGCTTCATAAATGTTGTGGATTCATGAAGACAGTTTTATATTTTGCAGTACCTACACTAACCTCATCGGCCATCGCTACTAATTCAACTCCCAAGTCAGGCGAAGCACCCAACTATTTATAGTTCCTTGTCGTCGTTCGAAGAATAACATGCTCGCAGTGTTCTTCCACTAGTGATTTACGCTTCTGTGGCTTGAAGCGGATTACTCCGGTCAGTGTACACATCGTTGACTGTGCCGCCTCACAATTGTCAAACAGCATCGACCACATCTTCACCTTGCGTCAGTTGTTAGAGCACCGTCACACATATTGGCGGCCCACCGTAGTCGTGTTCCTCGACATCAAAGGTGCCTTCGATTCGGTTGATCGATGTGCCCTTTGGAATTGTCTACTCAGGAAAGGTGTGCCCGAGAAATATGTAAATATTATCCAAGCATTATGTGCGCGTAGCACGGGCAGAGTAAGGGCTTACAGCAGGCTGTCGCCACCCTTCAATATCTCCAGCGGTGTGAGACAAGGATGCCCGCTGTCACCTTTCCTATTCAACTTCGCTATTGACGAAGTCATGGAGATTGCATTTACAGGACATGACTTGGAAGGTGTGGAGCTACTCCCAGGAGAACGACTTCTTGACTTAGAGTATGCAGACGACATTGCCCTCATCTGTGACAGCTCCCAGACGTGTCAAGCCGCGCTGGACAGATTAGCACTGGCTGTCAGTCGCTTCGGGCTTTGCTTTGCACCACCGAAGTGCAAAGCGTTCCTCCAGGATTGGCAGGGTTCGCCCCCTGTGCTGACCCTTGGTGGGGATCAGCTAGAAGTCGTTCAGAAATTCAATTACCTGGGAAGTTGTATCAGCGCCCTTGGGATCGAAGACGAGATCACGAACCGCATAGCGAAAGCTCGAAGTGCTTTTGCTAACCTTCGCCACCTATGGCGACGGCGCAACATTACTCTCGCCCTGAAGGGTAGAGTGTACAATGCAGCGGTACGTTCGACCTTACTGTACGGTTGCGAAACCTGGCCCCTAAGATCGGCGGACATGAAGAGGCTACTTACGTTCGACCATCGGTGCCTTCGCAGTTTGGCTCACATCTGGTGGGAACACCGCGTGAGTAACGAGCGTGTTCGACGCCTTGTTTACGGCCTAGGAAAAGGGAATGAACCGCTCAGCACCGTCATTTCACTCACCAGGCTCCGATGGCTGGGCCACGTGTTGCGCATGCCAGCCCACCGACTCCCGCGACGTGCGTTGTTTGCTCACCGGGGATGTGGGTGAAAGAAGAGGAGAGGTGGCCAAGCGATGACTTGGTCCAGAGGAATGAAGGCCCTCACTTCTGAGCTGGCCTCAGTTGGAGCTTCACGGCTCCCTGGTTGGGGTCCAAAAGACGGTGAACACGTTTGGCTGGATACACTTGCTGATATGGCAAGGAGCCGACCTCAGTGGCGTTCCTGCTGTGAGTTTCTTTGTCCCTCCCCATCCCTTTAGCCTCCCCCTCCATCTACGATCTTATTTCGTAGGGTAAAACGTAGTTAAATTTTTGTTTTTGCCTAGTAGCCGGCTAGTAGCTTACCGGAACGATGCGTATCCGTTGCTGGTAGCTCAGCTGGCATTCAACTGTCGTATTTATTTTTCCTTTATGTATTGTATGTATGTATGTATTTCCTTTATGTATTGCGGTACAATAGCGGAGGTGTTTTACCATCTCTAGCTGACATGTATAATGATGATGATGTCAAACAGCAAAGTAATATCCACTCACCCCAAACCTGGCTGTTTTCCGCGGATAGGGACTTAGTATTTATTTCGTCCAGCTCTACAATAAACTGCTTGATGGCTGACAACCCGCTGGCCGTACTCTCTTTGTACGGAGCTATTGACATTGTGATTTGCTTCCACCCCAAGTGTGTCCAGATAAATACCATATGCTCCATATGTTCCCGGGGCCCGTCCATAGCAGCCATCGAAGCTAGCTCTCTCTGTCTGTCGGGAGCAGCCCGGAGATTGGTGGTATGCCGCCTATAGCCGATTGGCTAGCCAATGGTATCGTTTTACCTTGAACTGAACCAATCAGAATGACCTTCCTTGAAGCCTCCAGTAAGCGCACTACTTGATCAGCCAACAAACGAGCTCTTGCGCATCTAGTAGTTGCTATTGTCAGGAACTTTCTCTCATGAACTATTTATTTTGACCACCTTATTCCTGCACAATCTGTCTCCCGAGTGCTCCATACAAGTTCCGCCAGAGGCCTTTGTCTTCTGATTTGGAAGGTGGCTCTACCGTGACCAGAGTGGCTTCATTGGTTATCCGTACTATCAGCGGAAACACAACAGTTTCTGGCAACTTTCCGCTCTTTCATTAGACCACTGGTTCGTACTTTCTGCATATGGTTACTTGGTTTCAAGCGCAGTAGTGAAGTGGTTACTGCTTCGAACACCGGTTTCCCACCACTTCCTGCTGGAATTAATCCTAACAGTGAGATAAATGCGATTAAAAGAGTATGACTGTCTGACTTTGATGCTGTTCGTTTTTCCTCCCTAGCCATGAAAAAGTGGAGGAAAATTGCATTGATTTGGTGGGTCGTATCGCCGATCGGGGCTCCGAGTATGTTTCTTCTCGGGAATGGATGCGGATCTGTTTTGAACTGTTGGAGCTTCTAAAAGCTCACAAAAAGTCAATCCGAAGAGCAACAGTTAATACTTTCGGCTACATTGCCAAGGCCATTGGACCTCATGATGTGCTCGCTACACTTTTAAACAATCTGAAGGTACGTTGTTTACTTCCCGAGTGTCTTCGGTCCTGAATTTGATTTACCTTGCTCACCACGGCCCTCCCGATCATCCCAGCCAACCGCTTTTATCTTTAAACACATCTACAACAAATACCCTTCAGGATAGCTAGAGCACCTGCCAATTGAATGCTTAAATCGCATGATCGCAATGTTATCTTACGAACTTATTATTACCACTTCTATTCACTTTCTGCTCTGGATGTGATTACGTCGTGTATATCTCGATTGAAATCTCGGGTTTTTCACATTGCCGCGTTAGCGCAATTCTTGAATAACGGAACTTCAATCCCAGGTCATCTACCCGTAGGTGAGTTGACTGATCTAGCGGTTGCAGCCGAAAGTTGCATTACGATTGTATAGGCGCGTCTGTTACATCCAACTCGTGTAACCTCCGTGTAAGCTTGTAGCGTACTAATACATGATTGAAGATCTAAGTTATTTCCATTTTGCTATCACACTTTTAGTTCAGAGAAACCATTCAGTATCCTACGATTCTCCCGCAACCTGGGGACTTGGGATTGACCGACACTTTTTAAGTTGTTTAGTCGTTTGGAGTTAAAGAAGCGATCCTCATTCGCGCTCTTAAGTTCAATTCGGTTACGATGACAGTCCAAAATTTGTGATATCTCAGCCCCGATATTACACAGAAACGCTCCTATGGTCTTTACAACTAATAAGCGCATCTTTTTCGGATTGTTTGATGTTACGAAAAGGACTCTGAAATCGCTTCATCATTACTTCCAATTTGAGGAGAGCCTAGATACTGCCCAAGAGAATATAGATAGTGTAACACGCGTTTGTTCAGAACATCATAAGCATGCAGTATGTTGGGACGAAACATTTCCTTCACAAGTACGCGTATTTTTTGAACCATCAACAGATTGTAAACAAACAATAAAACTTTGTAGAAAACAGAAACATAGAGAGTCGGAGGTTGCGTCTAACAATGTCAAGCGAACATGGTCTGTCACGAAGCCTAAAAATGGATAAGCTCTGCGCAGGCCTACTGGGCGGTAGTGGTTTTGGCTAGCGTCTTTCGTATCACGTTCTCACAAGAAAACATTCATCTCATTTAGAATCACGCGCTTGTTGATAGGCTCCATAGTGATTACCAGCCGAAGCTATCTAGTTAAGATCTATTGTGAAGTAGCCCGCTCGATATCGTAATCAAGCTATCTTGGGCGCGTTGGATATAAAGCATGGAGCAAGTAAACGACCTCGAGGACCCACATCAGATCATGTTGGTTTATGTCAGCAGCATAAGAATAATGGATGCTTCACCGGTCGCACCGAATCCAAAAGTCCATTTGGTTTCCAGTTAGTCATTAGACTACCACATTTGTTTGATGGATTTTAGGGAATTCTTAATGAGACTAGACTTAAACGAAAAGCTATGGTCATCTTATCCTTGTTACTCATTGAGCGACGCTAATCAGCCCCTTCCATATGCCGTCAGAGTTACGCGCACCACAGTTTAGTTAAATGCATTCAGTTAAACATCTTCAGAACTTAGAGATGAACCAGTACTCCCTTTAGTATACAGCACTACGCCGTACCGATTCTTTGCTGCCACACGACCACCGGTCGCGCGCCCGGGCTGGCCATCCTGAAAGTTCGCCCACAGCTACGCGGATCCGAAGCATTGGTGACCTTCGGTTTATAAGGTAGACGCATTATCCCTCCGGCCAGCCAATAGTCCTCTTCTCAAAATGTGACTCCACTTTTCCCTAATATTTCTAGATTTGTTCTCAGTCGGTCGAATGCGCCGTCTGTCCCCGAAACACGTCTCTCTTCATCAACAGCTGTGCATCAGTACGGATACTGCGTTATCCTACAAATGGGAGTCGAGCACGCTGACACCATTGTTAAGAGAAGAGAAAAGCGTTGAAAGTTTACCCCAGCATCGCACCTAAATACATATGCAAAACCTACTCACGCTGACTGCTCCACTTAAACTTGATGAAAGGCATCAGCCGGTCGGTTTCCTTCTTTCGCTGCTCCACGTCAGAATCAGCCTTAAACGACGCGCACTTCAAGCAAGTAGTCCGATTACAAAACGACAGCAATAATTGATACCGGTTGAGCTGTGATGTCTCAGATCGGTGCATCCCGTCTACTGGATGGAGCCCACTGTATCAGTCTCATCGGCGGAGAGATCTAATTAGCAGTTACATGAAACCGTCGCGTTTTTATTGCTCTTTGACCGTTGTCATTTATGCTTTCTCCCGTCAAGCGGTACTGGTCATGGTGACTAATTGTACTTTTTTACGAGAGTTGAGTGGGTTAAATCAGGCTGATCGCCGTGGTCCGGTACACTGTTCCACCTCAGCCAATCTATTTCGCACTCTATCTTTACGGTGCTGAGATTAGTCATGTCAAACTCCCAGGCGGACTTGAGTGACCTCATGCTCTCTGGGATGAATCAGCTACCTTTCTTTTTCAGCAGCTTGTTCAATCATTGAGATATATGTTCGCTTCGAATGGGACGACTCAGAATTCGGCCTAAGCCTTAGGCCTAAGCTCTTAGGCAGCTACCTTTTGTAAGCGTTGCGAACACTGAAACCGACTTCGCAGCAGAAACAAATCCTATACTAATCCATCTACCTAGTGTAGTCTGTCCTGCGTCCTGCTCATCCATCTCCGTCAGTAATCACTGATAAGCCTCTTTGGTATGGCAGTAAACCGCAGTGTCGTGCGACGGTCGGAGTCTGGAAATGTCCTTCAGGTCTGTCAGCAATTTAAACCGACGCATCCTGTTTGTGACGTTAACGCAGGTCTATGTAGATCCAGTGCGTCGTCTCTTTCGGTGAAAGAATCTACTAGCATGAATTTTGTGCTTATCTTATCGGAAGAAGCCGATACCGTTGGTAATGCCATGAGTATTTTCTACGAAACCGTTTCCCATGTATTATCCGGTCCCGGATCGAGAATTCGAACATTCACGTCACCACAACCGATGAGTGGCGAGAGTTGTCGGGTGGACTCGCCTTTGACAATCCCCGAGGCACCATCCTCAGACGATGGTTAACAATTCCGAGGTGATTCCGAATTTGGACAGCACATCTGCGACTATTCGGTGGTGACCATTCATGTAGGTTATCTCTAACCGTCACTCAACTGAGTTTTCAACATTGTCATTGCAATCCGGACCGGTTAATAGAAAATTTGATAGACGACAGTTTTGTGTACGTACTTCGATGACTGCATATATTTCATGACGACATAATGCTAACTGGCGTCGCCTGTTGACCGTTCCCACTTCAATTGTAGACGTCAAAAAGGTTCAACTTGAAATGAACTCTTACTCAACTCTTATGATTGTACCTGCGGTTAGGTGATCGACATGGGTGGAGAGAATTTGGTCTGTTGTTCTTTGGTTGTTTACTCTCCTAACTTATGCCTATTTTTTCGAAACTTGGGCCCACAATGTTGCTGAAGGATTATGACGAATTGCAGTTTTTTCTGTCTGCTCTCTTCGGCAATATTTCTCAGCAATAAAATGATGAGTTCTGCTTTGTAACTGTCGATAGCATTAAAACGTGTACACGGCAATCCCCCAAGCATTCTCTTCAAGTTTTTAGCACTCTTGACAGTCAATTTCATTTCATATCCTCAAAAGAACCTGACAACCGCTCGTTCCACTTTGCAACCACAAGATAAAGAACGCTACCACCCAGTTTATAGTTCCTCCTGCGTCCCTGTTACCAGAAGATTTCCCCTCAATTTTTATATTAAACCTCCTGAAACCATATGAAGACCCATAAAACATTCTCCCCTGATTTCACGGCGATGTGCGGGGTGCATCTGTGCCGCACTCTCGTCTCCTCTTTTTTTTACTATCGAACAGATTACGAATGTTTCTGACCTACTTGTTTCTTCACAAATTAAAGCTGTGCCAAATGGCCAGCTAATAAATTTAACAGTGTATTTCTCTTGCGGTTGTAGTTTTCCCCCGCATTGGTACTTTAGGGCGGAATCACCCAGATCGCCACATGATTAGCTTTACGCCTAGGTCAGTGCTGCGACACTGGGTGCGCTCGGTCTTGGTTTTTATTATCTCCTAACCACTACGCGAACTGGTCATTTGGCTCGCCCATCTCAACGGCTGCACCAACACTTGGTGTAGCGCTCCTGAAAAAATTACTCGTGCTTCGCTAAAACCTTCGAAAATTTGGTCAAACATTTTAATCTACTCTTTCAATTAAGACAACCTTGGGCAGCACTGCAGTGGATCCTGCGCTGCTGCATAAACCCAAAACCTCTCATCTTAGGTTTGGAGTGCTCGCAAAACCTTGTATATGTATAATAGTGCTTCTAATTGGACCAACGCTTCCATTACTTGGGTTCTCCGCGTTTCGTTGCTCGGGCCGCCGCCGTTCAACCGCGTCTAGCCGTGTGTATGATGCTCGCCATACGGTGCCGCCACGGAATGTCTACTGATCTCAAAGAACCCATGCTTGTTTGACTTTTTTTCGCACTCCTTCCAACCGCCTTTTTTAACATGTGTTGTCCACTAGCGTCGGATCGAATGATCTTTTCGCGATTGGTGATCCAGTATCGAACTAACAGTTAGCTACCTAAACTTTAGAACGCAATCATAAAATCCAAGGCTCTGCTGCATCTTGTCCGTTTTTTGTAGTTCGTTCATCTGGTGGTTTCACGAACTATCGTTGTCGTCCATTTTTGTCTCCGTGACCGCGAATTTGGCCAGATTTATCCGCCATTTGGAGCGTGCTTAAATTGAAGTGCATCATCGACGGTGCCGGTTCATGTGTTAAAAGTGTCAACTATTGTCTATTTTTGCTTCTCTTTACGTCGCCTCACTAATACTTACTCAGCCAGTGCCCGAGTGGTCTACACGCCTGGTTTGCAATCCTTAGGTCACTGGTTCGAATCCGCATAGAGGCGGGTGTCCTCACGGCGTACTCAGCCCACGCGCGACTGGTGGTGGTCGCACGGCATCGAAGCACCGTTACGGTGTACAGTTGACACATTATTTTTATGATTACATTATTGCGTTTTCGTACATGATTGTACTCAGATTGCACAGATCAGTATCTGTTGAGTCGTTTTTTCTCCCAGGTCCAAGAACGACAAAATCGGGTGTGCACCACTGTGGCCATTGCTATTGTGGCTGAAACCTGCAGTCCTTTCACGGTCCTACCCGGACTTATGAATGAATACCGGATTCCTGAGTTGAACGTCCAGAACGGGGTTTTAAAATCGTTGGCATTCATGTTTGAATATATCGGAGAAATGAGCAAAGACTACATCTATGCTGTCACTACACTCCTCGAGGATGCGCTAATGGACAGGTATGTACTGTTCGGTTTTACTTTGTTCGCATCTGTTAAACCCGGCTAGTCGCGCGGCTCTGGTCATTAATTACTCTCCCCCACTGCTCTGTTGCGGTCCATGTGTGCAAGGTCGCCGAACATGTGAGGCGGCCTGTATAACACACTCACCTGTTGCCAGCTATCTTGCCTGTATCGTGTGGCCAGACGTTTGGTCAATACACTTTTTGGTGCAGTGATGTCTTTGTTCTTACGGCTGTATGCTCCATCAATTGCGGTTATAACAGCATCTCGCACATAGCTATGTTACTGTTCATGTTGATAAGTCCTTTTTCCTAACCGTATTCGTGTGCCTTCGAATATCATTGGTGTGCCTGAATAGCTGATCCAGTTCGAGCGACCGCGTCTGTTCCGCATTGAATTCCAGTTCTGATAGCCATGCGCTTCGGCTTTGTCCTCTTTTTCGATATCGATCTGTTTTGTTTCCGGGAACTCACCGAAACATGCACCTGTTTGCAGACCAACACATGGTCTGTGGCAATGTATGTAAACCTTTCCGGGTGCTCCCCTACTTTCTGCAACGTATAGTAATGTACTTTCTTTTGAACCACACTTATGTCGGTAACCGTGACATGACTTGCATACCGAAACATACTGATAGCAACGGATAATTGCATTCGCATAATAGGCTCATCTCTGTTGTTTAAACGGTTTTATTGATCCGAACAGGCTAGTTGTTTGCTGGACCCGACTGTGTTGTCAGTCCTTTGTCAGGCGCGCTCATCTGTGATCTAGCACAAACTATCGAGCAAAACTGTTTCTTTGTAAAATACGATGTTCCCTATCAGTCCGTCACGCTGTGATTACACGCACAACTCCTTAAAAGGCTGCCTACACTCCACCGAGCTATTTGATCACCGGAATATCCCCTCCGAGTCACTTCGAAATAAAACTGGGCGCCCCTCAATCCGCAAGTAAAACAGGACATGTGCATCTGATCGCGATGCATAGTGGATATTCATTTCTGTCCTGATCACATGCCCCGAGTATGCACCCTCCAAACACAGAGAAGTCCGTGCTTCCGTCACAAAGCACGATACTACCCAGTTGATCAAGCCGAGGTAGGGAGTTGTCTTAGGAGACACCACTCCCAACCTTTGGTTGAATAGCCTGCGCGCAAGGCAGCAGAACCAATTGAAGGAATCGTGCCCATTGGGAGCGGGTGATGGATTACTCAGTTCATACGCCTTTCGGTTGCTAAACGGGGCACAATCATCATCGCGTTGCTGGAATACAATACTCCACTAATGTGAAGCTAGGGACAGACTTTATTTAACGGCAAATCACATCTGCCACGTCACAGTGTTGCTAAACAGGCATACGTGGCTTTTTATAAGGAGAACACTTATCAGGCGAAAACCCATCATGTCCTGGAACACGGCCGCCGAAATATTTGCTAGAACTCGAATTACCCAGCTGGCACCACGTGAAGAATGTTCGGCAAGGTAGCCCACTGTCACACTAACTGGTATGCACTCTCCGACGTAGGCATCGGCGGTGAAGCCCCTACAGATACCTGTCTTTGTACAGCGTTTTTGTTTCTGTGCTGTAACGAAGGGTCGAGGGGCCATTCATTTGTACGCTATCAGCGTTTCCCCAACGGTCAACTGTTGTTATTTCCACACTTGATGTTCTTGCCTACCAACAATCACGCTTAACATCGATACACGAGTTCATAATTCGCGGGTTATCTACAAGTCTAAAGACAGTCTTTTCCGGAAACAGAACAGTTTTGATGATTTCGGTAAAACATCAGTAATTTGGGTCTGAAGACATCACATAGACTCCACTCCCGGTGATGACCGAGTTCCAAATTGCCTACCATCATACGTCGCAGAGCACCCTCGCTACATACGGACAACATGGGGTCATCGGCAAATAACAACAAACGGATGGCCATTTCGTGCAATCGGTTTGTCGCTACGAAGCAATAATACTTTGAACGACCCAGCGTTACTTGAGACGGACTCAGTATTCGCTTACGCTGAATGTGCGGACATCATACTAGCCAGATATTAAAGAGTATAGCCTAAGACCGCTGTGCTTCACGCTAGAGACAACATCAAAGTCATCCGAGGTTTGCTCAAAGTCGTTTTTGTACCATACGGTTATTAATCCGCATTATGGAGTTACTACTGTCCGTTTATGACCTAACAGTCAGCTACGAATATCTGCCCGCTATCTTTGTCTTGATATCCTTCTGGTCGATAAATTCGTCTCTCTTTAACATGAGATTGTCAGTCGCTAATATATTAGTTAATTTCCCACTTAACGTAGACCATTATTCCTGGGGACTTGAATTGCCCCGAATTTCTTAATTTTAACTAATATTATTTGAAATATATGTGTATAGAGTCATTCAAGATACCACTGATATGTCATTCAAGGATCTCTCTTGAACTGAGACGATTTGTGATTATTGCTTCCATTAAGTTAAGTTTTTCGCAGTAAATCTTTCCCGCCTCGACTGGCAATACTCTTTTCAGCATCTTGCTTATCATTCTGATGAATCACCTGGGTTTCCACTCGAATATCCGCCAGTGGGCGCAGGCATCCTGTAGTTGTTCGCTTTTACAATAACAAACGAATATGAAAGGGGTTACCGCCAACGTACATTCAGCACCGATAGTCAAGTCACTGAATCATATATGCTTGACGCTAGTACACTATGATAGTATTAGAATCAGGTCATATACACTTGTCCGCCGTTGTGTTACCGAGCTTCACAGTTTTTGTGCTTCGCAGTTACCGTAAAATTTTAACCACCTTGTTCGCACTTCATATAACATGGACATAACCCACCACTCGATTCTTCGCCCCCACTACTTAGAGACTTACTCTTCAACTTGTTATTCTGCCAATCCCAATTCTAGAGACTTGGTACATCGCCAGACTGCTATGACCGCAGTTGGACATATGGCTCTTGGGGTTTACGGTTTCGGATGTGAGGACGCCCTCGTTCACTTGCTTAATCTGGTTTGGCCAAACGTGCTGGAAACCTCACCACATGTGGTACAAGCGTTCATGTTCTGCATCGAAGGTCTTCGAGTTGCTCTTGGTCCAAACAAAATTTTGCAGTATACTCTCCAGGTTAGCTTATGATGGACCTTTTCTTGACCGCTGTTCGCGTGAACTCATCCTTATCTACCTGTGTGATGCTGTATGCTATCAAGAGCAGCTGCCATTTGGTACTAGTGTATGAATTGCATTATTGTATAATGAGGTTAATTGTATTGGCCCATGTTTTCCTTGCCGCACTTCTTCATTTGCATGCATCTGTTAGAAGCTTCAAAACAGCAGGTTCGCATTACTGTTGGATTCGGTTTAACAAACAAGTGCGGCTCAGTTCTTCTCTCAGCATCTGCACACTGTATCGACCCTGCGCTGCCACGCGACCACCGCCGGTCACGTGTGGGCTGAGTATATCGCGAGGACGCCCGCTCCTACTTGAATTCGAAACGGTGACCCAAGGATTGCAAGCCAGGCGCGCAATCCTTTCGGCCACCGGCCGACAACTCATTGTTTCATGCTTCTTTCATTTAAAGACTATATAATCAGGCGGATGCCAGCAAACAACTTATCAACACACTTGCGAAGCTCGCGAACTGATCGGTGCATTGCCATTCCACAGTCTTACCTAACACTAACTGCAGGGTTCATCGCTAGTCAGCTGACGTGTTATCCCGGCACAATGCGTTGCCTCTGACGTGGGTCACTACTCGTCTCAATGGTTTGCCACCTGTCGCATGTCGGGCAGCTCCTGGTCGAAAATGGTACAAATCCGCTAAGTCCCACCTGCGGTTGACCGCGGATGCAGGTGCAGTAGCATACTACGTCGAACAGCGCACATAATTTTGATGTATATTTCTCGGTACATCGAAGTGCATTCCCCCTTGATGAGCTTTGATCGCTTAATTGTTCTGGATCTTTTAAGGCTGCTTTTGACTTGCCTCAAGCGGTTCCCAGTCAGGTTTTGCAGTTACATCTCAAGTTGGATGTGCTCCCCGCTCATTTGCTGGTCGTGCCATTGAATCAAGGACTAGGTCACCTCAAAACTAACCTCTTGGATTTGGCAGCCAAAGCAACATTGCTCGCGAAAAATCGATACAACTACCCATTTCTTTTTACCCGCTTCCTTTATCACGAATCCTATTCCCGTCTTACAGATAAGAGTCCACTGCTTACTTCATCAGACATGTCGCCAGGAAAGCCACATTATCTTTCAAAGCATTCCACACTGATTCTTCCTGGGTCTGCGCACTGTCAGATCGGCCAACACTGGGATTTGATGTCTGCTTTCTTTGGAGCACTTAAAGGAAGTGTTTTCCGATTCATCTGCAGTCAACAGACTCAGGTTCAAATGACTAGGCCTGCATACTTCTCATGTCCGGTTATGCTGAATCAATTATTAGTGGCACTTACGGAATCTGATCTTTTCGACTGTATCCCGGTGAACGTCTGATTGAGTGTCATGTAACTTCGAGGTTCCATCAGCTAACTAAGTAGTGGTTGTGATCCAAGTGCTTTTCTGTTGTTTTTGCCTACTCCCCAACTGACTACACCATCTAGGCTGTCAACGATCTATTTTATCAGTGGCTCTCTTCTGTTCGAATGGCCAAAAAGTACGGACATCACTATGCTTGTGCGCAACCTGGATGCCCAGGTTGGTCGGTTACCGAAATCAGTTTATGGTCTTGCAATTCCTATGGATAATGGTGACCTCTCTACTCAGTTGTGCGGTGACCGTTCACCCTGATTTCCGTGGTAGTCACCGAAAGAACAAATGTCCTAGACTCCAGTTGATGACATCAAACACGGCTCAATTCTCGTGCGTTCCATCTGACACTATTCTAATCTCGACGAAGTGCCTGCTCGTCAGTCGTGCAATCCGTTCTACGGAAACCACTGAATTGCAGTTTCAGCTGTCATCTACTGAAAAGGCAGGTGAACCGAGTTCAAACTAAGGTCGTCTCTAGTGCGCAACTCAGTGTACTCGGATTAACTCGCCCTCCATTTTCCCAGCGTCTGCTTAGTCGAAGCAGGTAGATAGCTCCGTCAAGATGTCTGTTTCAAGGTGTCTTACATTTCGGATCGTTGTCTGACTTGACATCTCAGAAATGACAGGAAACACTGATGAATGGCTTAAGTCATTGAAATAAAGAAGGCCAGCCCATATGGAATATGCAAGTGTTGTTCTATCTTATTCGATGCACGAACCCAAGAGGTATTTTTGTCAATGAAACTGGCTAGTAGTTACATGCCTGGGGTGTTTACTGCGCGTATTGTTAAGCCTCATGTGGTTTCTCAAGTCCTCCAGCCACTTAAAGTACCGGTGAGGTCTATGTAAGGTTTCACAACACTGCTGTACTATACTTCTTGCTATGTGGCTTTTGTACTCAAAGGATATCAAGAAGCCGACTGAGTTTAGCCGCCTATTCGAATTATGGTTCATGTATAATGGAGAGGTAAGTTTGCCCTTTGGTGTTTGTTGACATGCTCGCGACCCGACTAATTCAGTGTATTGTTTACCAATTATCTGAAATCCTCAGATGGTCAGTCAGTGGCATAGTAAAGCAATTTGAAGGAAGTTGCTAAAAAGCCGAATCCGATTGGTGTTGTCGATTTTTGTCTAAAATCATCGGGATTGACAACACTAGTTGACGCTTTCTTGGACTGTAAGCGGTCACGAAGTCAGTGGTGCCCTTGCACTCTCTCCCACTTTCAGACTCTTGATTATTCCATTAGGTTTTTTTAGTGCTTGTTCACTCAACTTGAAGCTCATTGTTATCGTTATTTTTGTGACCCTTACTTGCACGTTGGATTCACCAGCCCTATGCACTCAGGAGAGTTGAACTGAGCTCCGTTATTTATTGTTAGTCTTTCTTAGCTTCCGAGAATACGAGCCCACTTTCTCTGACATGTTTAGCCTCCGTATAGTTGTAGTACAGCGATTAATAGTTTAAAATCTGGTTAATTCGTGAAAGACAGGAAGTGAGTAATTCAAACCCTTGATCCATGCAGAACTGTCGTTTTACCTAATTTAAGTAGTTTATTTTGCACCCCTGGTGATGCGCCATCAGTTTATTTACAATGTTTTTGGTTTGGAGAGAATGTCAGGGATGTTTTCCTTTTGGTGTTGCAGCGGCAAGTCGGACTGGCCAGTTCACTTCCTCTGGATGCTTGCTTACCTTCACTGTTTCAGCTGTCGTTGGTTGCCAATTCGTCGCCAATTTCCTTACTCGACGGTTGGATATAAAAACCGCTATGATCTACAGAATAAGAGAGGGATAGAAGAAGCATAGCGCAAAACCTTATTGGCTTAAATAATCAGTGTCAAGGCGCCTACACTTTGTCAACAACCTACGGATATAAAAAGCTGCTCATTATGTAAAGATAAGGCGGCTTGGGCGTAACAAATTCCATGCGGCTTTCACTGCCCCGCCTCATAATCAGCCATTATCCCGCAAATAACTCAGCACCAACCACGCATTAAAAACAGGTAGTCCGATTAACATCAGACGGGCCGCGGACACTGACTGCTATCCATGTCCTGTAACGTCTGGAGCCAAGCATAATGGGTCACATGGACTCAAGCTTGGAAGACGTATCGGATCAACGGCATCCAGTTTTGTAGTCAACAACGACATTCCCCACTGCCGAATCAGCTTTAGCCCATCTCGAGCCTTGCGCCATCCTACATCCGGGAAGCAGAACAAGGCTGTCCGTGGGAAGCGGTGATCTAACATGCGTAGCTCGTGTTCAAGCTAATACAACATAGTGTTGTTCTAAGGACCGCCTCATTATCACCACCTAGCACTCATCTATGCACATCACGGTTACGGATACGCTGGTGGCATTTTATAATAGCAATGCTCCGCATGCAATGGTAATCCAAGACTTGAAAGACGCCTCATTACCGTAGAGTTGGATGGCCCTCACTGTGCAATCTTACGCACAACTTTCCAACCCGAAGGAGCCCTGTTTAACGCCACGGAAGTCTCACATTCAAGAAGGTTGTTCTAGCTTGTCCTTTGCGTGAATTAAGAGCACTTCTCTTTGACAATTTTTATGCACAGCCTAAAGTCAGTGCTTACAACAGTATGCTAAGGCAGGACAATGTCCCGGTAAAATACCAGACAGTAGTTTAAAATAAAGAATTTTATAAACTGGGCGGAACTGTCTGCCAACTTGGTCTGTGTTTGTAATGTGCGTCAGCTGTAGATGCAAGGGGTCTTCAAGTGGTCGGTGGTCCTGCAATAACATCCTGCACTTTGGAAAAGCAGCACTTAGTGGATAAACAGCATCCGCAGTACACAGTACCGACCCTTCGCTACCGCGTAATCACCACCAGTCGCGCTTGGGCTGAGAAAACTACGAAGCTTGCTGGAAATCGCGACCTCCGGATTACAAGGCAGGCCACGAACAGGCGTAGTGGATACACAAACCGATATTGATTCACCGTCGTCATTTACTAAACTTAGGCAATCTTTAAGCTAGTTATTATATCACGTCAACCTTACATCGCATTTCTTGATGTGCTTTTATTGTGTGGCATCATCTTGTGCGTTCTCATAAGTGGTTCCTTCCCATTGGTGTGCACTTATCGGTTTCTTTTGATTATGCAATGGTCACTTCCATTCTCTTACAGGGGTTATTCCATCCTGCTCGCAAAGTCAGAGACATGATGTGGAAAGTGTATAATACTATTTACATTGGCAATCAAGACGGACTGGTGTACGGCTTTCCGCGTGCACCGGACAGTGAAAATAACACCTTTGTTCGTCATGAGCTTGATTACGTGCTGTGATCAACTCTTGAGTGTGTCTCACTTCCTCCCGTTTCATGCTCCTGGTGACTATTTGTCCTCCTCCACACATGTCTTATTTCTTTCAACGGACACCTGTTTTATACATACACTTGAAGAATACAATATTGTACCTAAACCATGCCTTGGTTGCAATGAATACGTAAACCCAGCGCCTTTGCTTTCTTTCATTTTATACCGTGCGGTTCTACTGTCTCAATCTTCGATTGCGCCTTTTCCACCGACAATTAATTTCCCTCTGACTTGTGCGTCCTGTGCTCTCAGTGAGCTGTAACTTTGTGAGCTCATGCACCACTGTTGTTGGTACACTGCTTTGCTACTTCGTTACCTATGGTTGCTTTCTACATTGGAATAACGGAGCTCGATTCACTCAGACGCCAGAGCGCATTCTAGACATTAGCGAGCGGCGCGAAACATTCTAGCATTAATGCGGGATTTTCTTTGGTCCGATTGCATTTTGTTGGCGCGTTTTCGATCAATTCAGTCTTGGATAGCGGTATGTTTCTCTGGGACCCTGTTCTCTACCATGCAACGCCACCTGGTTAGTTTGTCAACCGAGTAGAATGCAGCCTGAAGTCTGGGAAGGCAACAATGGTAGTCTTACGGTATAGATGATGATGTTCAAAAAGTTAGCGAAGCGTGAAGATCTGATCTATACACCCATGTTAAAGGCGAAACGCATTTGTTTTTTCTTGGTAGTATGATGCGCAAATTGGGGATTTACGCAATACAGAGTAACTGCTAATAGCCGAAATTGTCCCTTCCCTTTCTAATTGCCGTGTGAAAGCTTTCCTGCAAGTTGTCACACTAAAACTGTATTTAAGAGCAAGTAGAAAGATTTCTGGACAATATCGAATTACGAGAAATCAACAACATTTCGTTGTGAATCATCAGCGGTTGTGTCTGGTCAGTTAACCGTTTATCCTTGTTCGGTCAGGAATTTGTATTAGTGTCATTATTTCCGGGTATTCGATGTCTTTTGGCATTGTATGTGCATCGTTTCACACAAGCACAGTTTTCCGAAATAATCGTCGATACGTGTTTTAAAACATTTCACAGAATCGATCTCCATTAATCCTTCTGGTAGTGTATTCCATAAGTTCACGATTCTTCGTTCGATACCAAGCTGATGTGATACTTTGTTCATGTTGGGGACCCTGAGTTTGTAACTGTGTCCTCGGGGGTTACACGGTTCCCGCAGGTGAAATATTAGCCGCAGTATGCGGAGGTGATTTAAGTGTAGTACTCGATGGGTCATAATAAGGTCCATGCTTACTCGGCGCTAGGATAGTGTGTAGAGTCCGAGACTTTCACAACGCTTTTCATACGGAAGGTTTCGTAGACTCGGTATCATTCTAGTTGCGATATGCTGTATTTTCTCCAGCTTTTCAGTTTCCCATTGGGTTATCGGATGGTAAGCTGGGGCACCGTATTCAAGGATTGGTCTAATGAGCGAGGTGAATAGACGAGGGACGGTTTCTTCGAACTATGTGGAGAAACTGCGTCTTAATGCCCAGAGAATACGAAGTCCCGCACTGTACAATTTCTGTATTTTATAGTGATCTCATCATGTCTCAAGAGAACTCCTAAGTCTCGGACAGATGTGTTGGGATGGAGCAACTGGCCGTTCAAGGTGTATGATCGAGTGGCTGGACGTCTTGTAATACTGATGAACTCCGACTTGCTTGCGTTAAGAGGGAGTTGCATTTCAGTGGACCACGTTGACAGTCGCTCTAAGTTATGCTGGAGGCGAGCGCACTCGTCCTGGTTCTCAATGATCCTCCAGATTTTCAAATCATCTGCAAACAGGGCACATGGTGACTGGAGCTGCTGCGGAACATCGTTGATATGAATAAGGAATGGTACTGGCCCAAGTACGGTTCTTTGAGGCACGCCACTGCTCGATGGGAACCAGTATGTCAGGTAGCCATTGACCTGTACTCTAAATCTTCGTCCCACAATAAACTCGTGTGACCACTGAAGTAACGTGCCACCGATTCCGTAGGTCCTCAGTTTACGAAGGAGTACCTCGTGCTTCACTCTATCAAACGCCTTACTAAAGTCGATGTACACCACATCAACATCCTTCCGTTCGTTGAGAGCTTGTACCCACTGGTGGTTTGCGTACATCAATTTAGTGATGCAGGATCGCCCTTTCTTAAAGCCGTGTTGCGCTGGCGTCAATACGTCCATCGATTCGAAGAACGACAGTAGAGACTTTTCACAACCTTCTCGAGAACTTTGGATACTACCGAAGTCAAACAGATCGGTCCATAGTTCTCTATTTTATTCGGATCACCACCCTTGGGAAGCGGTCTCACTATCGAGCATTTCTAGTCGTTCGGGACAGATCCTTCAGAGAGTGATTTATTGAATAGGTTTGTCACGGCTGGTGAGATGATAATCCATGGGGACTTGAGTATTAGTGGGTGAAGTTTGTCTGGTCCGGTGGGCTTTGCACCACCGAGGTTGACGTGTAGCTAATACAATTCGACTGCATCATATTGTAGGCTGTCGAGCAAGATTTGCGCAACCTGTGCCGGTACTGAAACCGCCGCCGGTTTACTGGAATATACAGTGTGGAAGTGCGTAGCCAAGACGTCCGCGCTTGAAATGAGCGTCTTTCCGTCCAAGCTCTCTAAAACCGGTAGGTCGCCCCCGGATTTTAGTTGATGTTTCAAGTAGGCAAATATTCTTTTGGGTGCAGTTGTGGCCGAGGATGCTAGCTCCTCTTCCAACTGCCGGCGTTTCTTGATCTTCGCTGCGTTACATATGTTACGCTGTTTCTGGTACACCGTGTAATCTTCATCACAATCCGAGCTGATGTATCTATCCCACAGTTTGCGACGCCGTTGCGCTAACTGTCTATATTCCGTATCAAACCAGTGCGGTTTGACAGGTCCGACTTTTGAATACTTCAGGGGCACCAACCGAGTACACAGCGAGTTAAGCTTCCCCTTCATTAATGACCAACAAGCCTCAAGTGACGCATCCTGTGGTAGTGTCCAATCAGTCTGACTTGCGGCTTGGACGAGCCCGTTGAAGTCCGTCTTCCAATAGTTGAATGTCGGCTTCCGTTGATTGTAATATGGTAACGACAGTTCTAAGCTTGCCACAATGGAGCAGTGGTCACTGTTCGCAAAAGGCTCGATGATTCTGATCTCGTTCAGCTTATGCTCGCAGATCGTAAACAGGTCCAGACAAGATGCCGGGTGTGGAGTTACGCGCGTCAGTTGGATGACCTGTTGCGTTGCCCCGATTTCAATAGTCATTTTAGCGAATTGAGCCTCAACGTTTCCATGACCGGGAAGAAGCCGAATGTCTGGCCAAAATATGTTAGGTAAATTTAGATCCCCCATCAGTAAGAACTGAGAGCGGCTCATGTGCTTCTGTACATGTGGTAGCCAATCGCAACAGCGGTTTAATGGGCTCCGGTAGATAACCCCCACTATTAGTTCTGCGCGCCTGAGGCGGACTGTGCACCACAATTGCTCGTATAAACTATTCTTGCTCCGATAGGTGCTGGTAAATTAACCAGATAGTGACGATTTTATGTACAACAGAACACCACCGTGAGCCTTTGATTTTCGGTCGCATCGGAAACAAGAGTATCCTGACAACACGACTTCTTGGGGTATGACGTCGGAGTTCAGCCTAGTCTCTGCAAGTCCTAAAACGTCCGGCCGCTCCGAGACAGCGAAGCAGCACAGTTCGTCACCTTTGTTCATTAGACTGCACACGTTGGCGAATGCCACACGGAGGTCCTGAGAGGTACTGCGCGACATGCCTGGAGGCTGAGCAACCGGTTGATACGGGTTCGTACACCATTCTTGATCACCTAAAAATTTACAATTTGTAAGTCAGTCTCACATTTATCTGTATGGCGTTTGAGCTCAATGACCGCAGCCTTCAAACGATCCCTGTCTTCGGGTTCCAAGTCTCGGTGGATGTGAACTTTGTGCGTTTCAGCCTTGAGAGACTAGACAGTATGAGCTGCAGCATATTGGGATTTGCAAAGGTGATTCTCAGAAGTCGACATGACTGGTTAGTTTTCTGGCCAAGTCGGATTACTTGTTTAATCGTCACACCGTCTTCGCCCACATCTAAGAGTCTATCGATGAGCCCCTGAAGGAACTGAACATCGTGCTCATACCGTATCTGAGGGTTTTCATCTTTTGACTCCGGTACGTGGAAGACCAGATTATGACGCCTCAGCGAAATCAGTGATGAACCTGTGGGAGCAGAACTAGAGGCGCTTGACTGATTGGGTTGTTGCTTATCAGCAGGTGACGTATGAACTCGATTACGTGGGCCCTTGCGCTTTTGAGTGGTCCATTGATCCTCGGTGTTCAGAAGTTCACAGCCAGGCCCTGAGAAATTCACGGTCCGATCCGTGAAGCGGCATTTCGTAAGTTCCGAGTCTGAGTCTTCCATCGGTAGGAAACATTGAACCTGGGGCTCGGCCGGGGTCGAAGACGCTGCTGATGGTGCAAATCGCGGAGTGACAATAGAAGGCGAGATGACAGAGGTACTGTCACGAGTGCGTTTGATCCCACGTGGTGAACGGGTTGTTTCTATCTGAAAAAGATTTTCCCGTAGCTGATAAAACACAAGGTAGCGAAGAGCACTCTTCGATAAATCTCAACAGGCGTTTACAATTATAAAATAGAAAGTTGATGCGGGATAGGCTGGTGAAGCGCGATAACTTTCTATTTTATAGTTGTAAACGCCTGATGAGATTTATCGAAAAGAGTGCTCTTCGCTACCTTGTGTTTTATCAATTCCATGGGTATAATATTCGAGTTTCCCGTAGTTGTTTGCGGACGCTGCGTATTCTGATGTCTTGTACCGCGACATTTATCACATATAACTTGAAGAAACCGATGTCGGATGTCGAGCGATTTTCGAAACACGTCAACGAATAAGCCAATGCAAGAAATATGGAACAAAACGTCACAGCTGAAGCATCGAAGTGCATGAGCCTTATTTCCCACAACTTTCGAACACGAACCACAAGTAGCTTGAGACGGCATCACAAGCTAGAGCAAATCCAAGATGGCGGACAGAAATGGAGGTAGGGCAAATCAATGAGATCTCCGGAATTAGCCAAATAATAGCTGCCAAATTTGCACCGTTTAGAAAATAAGCCAAAAGAAGAATATTGGTGCGCAATTCGCACAGATAAAACGCTGATAACACAGTAATCTGAGGTAAAAGTAGTATCCAGCGCACGTTGATCTAAAAATCTGTGACGTCCGTGGGTACAGCCACTGAAATTCGGCCTGTGATTGCACATAATGGTTGGGCGTTTGCGAAAGGAAG